AGAATAAAATAATGTTTATTAGGTATTTATCACATATATTATTGATTTACTTCAAAGATATGATTACAAATAATGAACCGCCGGATCGTGATCATGGCGTGTGTATTACTTAAACACAGACGATAATTTAAGTGCTTTTTCAACTTTATTTAGTTGAACGTTGCCATTGTTAATTGGTCCATTAATCTTTTATCTGGACAAGTCTTCATAACCTAAATTAATATATTACACAAAAATATGTTGTATTAATTATGATAATTTAAACCCTTCATACTGACTTTTATTCCAGCAAGTTGGGATATGTACATCACAGTCGGAACTTTCAACATTTTCGACGACCGTTTCAGGATGTTCTAATGCTGCTTTTTTATTTGGATTTTCTGTTTCTAATGAATAAGTACTTAAAAGTAAAACGCACTTCACACATATACTGATACACTAAGTGACCACTCGAAGCAAAACACACACTAAATATATTGTGACATTGTCACTTGTCAAGTATTATGAAACTAAAATCAAAATATAATTAGGTAGGTTACGTATACACAATGTACACATGTATACCGATTACAGATAGTTGATAGATAGAGTTTGTTACAATTTGTGACAAAATACGTTATCGTCTATCGATAATAAATTGGGTATTTACATATAGGGATTTTGTTATCAGAGAAATTATATAGTAAAAATAAAAATTGAGTACCTAATTTAATTTTTTGTTTGGATAGTTACGAGATTTTAAGTTTTAAGAATAGGAGTAAATTACATATTAGTACATAATAGAGAAATTAGAAGAGAATTATTTTATTGTAAGTGAACATAAGCGATGTTGCGATAAATAAAAGTATTTAATGGACAACAATAAACACAGTTTAAAAATGGCGTTTAACCATAAACCCGATATTTTCTCAGGAAAAGAAAACGAGGATATAGATAAATTCATAAAAAAATTTGAACTAGTAGCTGTCGTGAACGAATGGAACGACGAACACAAAGTAATTATTCTACAACTATATCTTAAAGACTCTGCAGAAGATTTTTTTGAACAACTAAAATCAAAAAACGAAAATATAACATGGAACGAAGTCAAAAGTGAATTAATAACAGAATTTACATTAGTAGGAAATAAATACTTACTAAGGGCAAAACTGGAAAATCAGAAACTAGCAAAAGGAGAAACATATAAAGAATTCATAATTAAAATAGTAGGCATATGTTATAAAATAAACAAGAATATGACCGAACACATTTTAAAAGGAGTACCCAAAGAAACCTTTCAGTTAATAAGGTTAGCAGATAATACATCGATCGCAAGCATTAAAAAAACTCTAGAGAAACTAGAAGTAACAAATCTATTGAGAACGGAGGACAAGGTAAATGGAGAAGTAGAGAAATTGACTAGAGAAATGGAGGTTTTAAAAAATCATATAAGTCAAATTAAAGTTGGACAAACCCAAAATAACATTCCCAATAGTATCAACAATTATCAGAACGAAGAGCAAACTAGCTATAACAATGGATTCAGCTTTTATAATAGAAATCAACACTACCAACCACCTATATTTAATAATCAAAATGAATATTATCAAAATAATCCAAGACCAAACTTTTATCCGAATTACAACTATCTCACACATAATCGATATTTAGCCGATGACGTCATACAAAACACAGAAGATGAATTTAAATGTAATTACTTCTTAGTTATAGTAGATGGTGCAATAAGTGCAATAACAAAGCGATTCGATCAAATAAATACATTTAATGACGTTTTTGGATTTTTGTATGATGTTGAAAAACTTTGTTATGTCCCTGATTTAGAAATTTTAAATTGCTGCAAAGATTTGGAAATACGTTTGTCAGATAATAACAAAAAAGATTTAAATGGTTATGATTTATACGAGGAAATATTAATTTTCCTACATTTAATTGATAAAAATACTACACCATTTCAAGTACTTTCTGATATAAAAATACGAACGCATTTCCCAACTTGAATATTGCCTTATGAATTATGTTAACAATTCCGCTTACATCAGCTTTATTGAATTTATAGCTTTAAAATTTCACTAATTATATTAAAGGTTTGGAATTTTTCGAATATAAAAAAATGGACAACCTTGCATAACAAAAGTCTTACAGTCCAACAGAAAAACGAGTTTTATGGGATTGATTTTAAGATTAATAAATTCAATAAAATTATTTGAGTTCTTATTCCAAAAAATACCATGACATATTTACTCACCTATAAGTTTTCGTAAGACCATATAGAGACTACATTTAGCGTTGTTGGTGAGTCGCGGCCCAAACCCTAAATAGCGTACGAGTTGCGGCCCGGGTTTATGAGAGGTACGTACCAATCGCGGCCATACAATAATCTATATACTACATATATAATATATACTATAGTCTATACATTAGGGTGGAACTCATGTGTATGTTATTTTTTTTTTTTTTTTTTTTTTTAATCATGTCTCATGGTTTAATATTGTTCCATTTGGTGTAAAAATGCTTTGTTGAAAGTTTGGTGCAAATCAAATAATATCTGATGGTCGCTCAAGGCAATCACATCATTAAGGCTATTAAATCTCTAATTTGTACTATAAAAATTAATAATGGATAGGTAAGGTATTACAAAAGATAATTTTAGTTTGCAACTAAATACTGAAAAAAAGTTAATATGTTTTCTGTTATTACATATAAGTATAATGTATCAATGATATAAATTTATAATTATAATAAAAGGTTTTAAAAAAAATAACCTAAATTGGTTTTTAGATCATCAATATAATATTATAGATCGTCGTATAATTTATAGAACTAAGTAATAAGAAATATGGATTATGTATCTTCAGGGATACATGTGTTAAACAGTGGCCTCGAGATTTTGTGTCCTATAAGATACATCTCATATTTCAAATTTGAGTATTCAAATTTTTTGAGGACGATGTTTTCTAAGTTCAGTGACCTTAAATAAGCCAGAAAAACCTTATTTTAAAATTTTCAGTTGTAAACTGACTATATATTAGGGTGGCACTCATTTGTATTTTTTTTTTTTTTTTTTTTTTTTAATCATGTCTCATGGTTTAATATTGTTCCATTTGGTGTAAAAATGCTTTGTTGAAAGTTTGGTGCAAATCAAATAATATTTGATGGTCGCTCAAGGCAATTACATCTTTAAGGCTATTACATCTCTAATTTGTACTATAAAAATTAATAATGGATAGGTAAGGTATGTACTAAGTAGTTATGTAATGCAGTCATTATTTATATAGTTGGACAGAACTAATATAAGTAACAGAAATGCGACATTTGTATTAGCAACTGTGGCTCAATCAGTTGGGCAAGATTTAACTAGCATTGCTTTAAATAGAGAATCAATACGAAGAGCTCGTCGTCAACAAAGAGAAAAAATTGCGACAGATATAAAATCTGCCTTTGATCCATCTGACTCGCTAGTAATTCACTTTGATGGAAAAATCCTACCAACATTGACAAAAACAGAACACGTAGATCGCCAAGCCGTTTTAGTTTCCGGAAATGGGAATTTGAAACTTTTAGGTGTTCCACAATTGTTAAAAGGTACTGGAAAAATGATAGCTGAGGCAATTTATGATCTTCTTAACGGCTGGAACTTATCAAATCGTGTTCAATTTATGTGTTTTGACACAACTGCTAGCAATACAGGACTTAAAAGTGGTGCATGTGTGTTATTAGAAAAAAAATTAGAACGAGTATTGTTAAAATTGGCCTGTCGGCATCATATTTTTGAAATTGTCGTAGGTAAAGTGTTTGATTGTTTAATGGGTCCATCAAATGGACCAGATATTGCATTATTCAAACAATTTTCAAAATCTAGTAATGGTATTTTTATAAATTAGCCTTAAAAGTTTTTTCTGGACATTTATGGTACCTTAGTGATACATTAATTGGATTGGCATTTTTTGACAATCGAGTTTCAGATGATATTAAATTAAAAATGGTAAAGTCTCTAGACAAAATTGGGACTAATGTTCTTGAACACAGAATAAAAATACCAGAACATAGTATTTCAAATTGTGAATTAAATGATTTTGTTACAAATAATACACATAAGCTTTTTACGGCTCTAAACATTAAAACTGACTTTTTAACGACACACCCAAGTACTTGGAAAAATAGTACGGAATTTCTGGATGGATATAAAAAAGTAAAAGCTCTCAAAGTGGTTAATGATGCAGCTGAAAGAGGTATAGCATTGATGACATCATTTAATGGAACTCTTACAAATCAAGAAGAACAACAGCAATACATTCTGCAAGTAATCGAAAAACACAGAAAAGATTTTCCTGATTCCAAAAATACAACTTTGTTACAAATGTAATTGATTGTAAACCTTATGATATTTATACACCTTATCAACACAATAGTTATGTAATGTAATAACCCAATTTGTATTTACTTTTTATTGTTCCTAATATAATTAAAACTACATTGATAATTAAATTTAACATTACAAAAATAAAATTATCATAGGTATATTATTATTTTGTATTTGGTATTTTTAAGTGCATTGAGCGACCTCGTAAAATTTTTTAAAATTTTTTTAACTTTCACAATATCACTTTTATTATAAATAGATCAAATTAAAAACATGAGAAAACTAAAAAAAAAAAAAAAATTTGAGTGCCACCCTACTATATATACTACTTTTGTATGTTACGATTTTATATTCACAACACTACAAATAATGTTAAAATTACTACTTTTGTATATTACGATTTTATATTCACAACACTACAAATAATGTTAAAATTTTCTATGAAAGTGTGAACTACCAATTTTTTACCGTGGACCACCAGTTGGCGACAGCTGATGTAGAGTATCTGATATATTATTATATTTTAGGACATAATACAATGTGTTTATAAATTCTATAGTCTGTTATTGTAAGTTTATTTAAACGTGTGATACTTGAAAGCCACGAGATACCAGCTATTCATCCATATTTACTCACTAACATGAAGTTTGCGGAAATACCATATGTAACGTCAATAGGACTAATTGAACCAAAAATTACTGAGCTACAATCTAATATTGAAAACAATATTCGCTTAGCTATTATTCCATTAAAAGCATACTGTAAAGAATTTAATATCTATTTAAGTTTATTTAATACAGATGTAGAGTTATATGTAAAGTAAGTATAAAGAAATTCGTTAGGGTAACTAATATAAAATATATTAATAACACAATTTAATTTAATTGTATTTAAAAGGACATTTTTTGATGGTAATCCATCACTAAGTAGAATAAAAGAAGAAATATCAATGCAAATAAAAATGAAGTTAAAACTAGAGAAGACATTTCCGGAGACGATGACTATTGGCCTATATTTCATAAGCATTAAATCATTGAAACATTCATTAGTAAGAAAACGGATTGATTTAGCAGACTTAATTATGAAAACACATGCGAGCTTAACAACTGAGAAAATAGAAACATGCTGCGCAGAATACAAAAGAATGTATCTGAAGCTTACTGAAATTCCAACATCAATAGAGCAAGTATTTGAAATAAGAGAATGGATAGAAACCTTGCCAATTTTAATCAGCAATCAGTCTGAAATCGTAAAACGATTATTTAAGGTAGGTACCTAACATAATATTATATTTATAATACAACAAGTATTGAACTATTTAAACTACTTATATATGTAGATATATATAATAACACTATTTTACCAATGCCACAATTGTTGTAAATTGAATATTTATAGGATATGGAAATTTTGGATACATTTTTGTGGATATTAGATGATGAACAGTTAAAATTAATATATGACTCCCAAATTTGGCCTTATAAGATTGAGCTAAGAATAAAAGAGACATTACAAAGTATAACAACCAATATTGAAAAATTTGAAAAAATTCAATTCGAAGATGAATTATTATTACAAGATAATGTTGAATACTTAAGTAGTATTATTTTAAAGTTAACTATTGAAAATAATTTGTCAAAAGTAAATGAGATTGCGGTAGATGTAAACAAAAATTGGAAACTGATTAAAGACCTTCAATTAACTAGTCAAACTTTAAACCTAAGACAACAACTTTTTGGTCATACGGTCAGTTCAATTATATACAATGCATTTTGTTTTATTATTATTTATTTATTGAGATCAATAGCTTACTAACAAATAATAACGTATTTGGGGAGGGAGGGATTTCAGTATTTGTATGATTTTAAAAGCAGGCCGGACACTGGTTGTGGTCCATTATTATATTTTATTGGTGAATAAAACATGCCTATTTTTATAATATATTCATTTTGAAGTACCTCCGATGGGAGGCCTCTTCCTTCAGTTTCTTCTGTCTGTTCTTGTTCTATTATCACTTAAGCTTATTGTTCTAATTGTAACAGATAGCGTAATAAAGAATTTTGTTAAAAAAAAAAAAAAATGTTTATAATATTATATTGTGACTATTGTGTACCTACTAGGAAATTATTATCACAATGATAAATTTGTACGTAATTAATAATTAATTAGTTATTAGGTTCGAATACAATTTAAACTTAGTTGAAAGTGTCATATAGACGCTTGGGAGTTGTGGGCGTGCATGTAAATTGGTGTGTGTGTGTGTTTTTTTTTTTATTAAAAACTATTAAACAGTTTTCATCTCTATCACTCGACGTCGACATTATAGCTAAGCCATTCAATCTAGCCTAAAATATAAATTTAAATATAATAGGTAATAGCTTTGATTAAATTGGTTTAATTTTGATTCTATTTTCTGCAATTTGTTTGGCCCTTACGGTACCTAATCGTTGATCAATAGACGTGCGTGGATTTTTAAGACGTTGAAAAAATGACTTCATCAAAAAAAATTATTTTTTCTTTAATTCGAGAGATGAGTGTTTGGTAAATGTTTCAACCGAATGTTACCAGTTTTTAAATTTTACGAACACATGACTACCTAACACTTTTGAATTGAGCACACTGGTCACCAATATGATATACTTCGAAAACGTTAGGTACATACAATTTGAAAAATGTGCGATCTTGTAATACTGAATATATGACAACCAGAATATTGACATTTGAGATGTTTACCTTTTTGTCTTTTCCAGGAGTACCTATTTGATGTTACTGAAAATTTTATTCGTATGGCAACAATGACACTGTAACATAAAATACAATAAATAAAATAAAAAGTATACTTGATATTAATAACTTCATTAATCCCATTAATGCCCGACTCAAACATTCTATTCGGGCATTCGTCTGTAATTTTGACTGGAAATTTATAGTTTAGATGATATTTTATTTAAAATCAAATTACTTATTAGTTATAGTACTTACTTTTGATTTTTTATACTCGTCATTCGACTATCGTAGTAGGTATACCAGCATCAACTTTTGGCGGTCAAACAAATAATAGAAATAGTGTTGTAATTGTCAGAAGAAACCATTTTTATAAAAAGTAATGGTAGAAAATAAATTTACCATCACAAATCGCAATAATATAACCGATTACCGGAAATAACCAATACTGTGAATTATTTTATCAAACTCAATGTATTATTTCAGTATACCTGTTTAAAATAGGTGTATATAAATAACCGTATATATTATTATAAAATAAAAATCGTGTCGTCTGGGGAACCCCTCTCCCCTACAATCCGCCACTGGGGCGTGTGTGTTGTGTGTAATAGTTTTATTCCAACATTTTTTAAATTAATACAAATTCAAAAACAAAAACCTCTCAGGCCTCAGATATCAATAAAAAATTGTTATTATAAAATAACTTCTAGATAGGTACTTTATATATTTTGTAAAATGTAAATTACGTTGTCAAAAAGGGTTTCATTGTGAAGACAAGAGTAAAAAAATTTGTAAGATAGGAATGGTAATTTGATATAAATGTAAGTAGAAATGTGCTTGTGAACGGTTTCTTTTAAGTTAGGTAGGTACCTATTTGAGCTGGTCAAAACTTTTGCCCCACTCTATTGAAAACTAAAATGATGCTACTAATTTACACTAAAATTGTATAATTAGGTAACACCCTTTGAAAATGTTGATCATTTGGTGGACGAATTTGAACCATATAAAACATTATGGCTGAGTGCTTCAGAGTTTTTTAAATTACAAAATGCTTGGTTGCAAAATCCATTAGCAAATTTAGAAAAATCTGCGCTAATGCCTTCGTTAAATAGTTTATTAAACATTGTCACAAAATCTGTTAAAAAATTTGCTGAAATACCTGGTAACAATAATAAATGGACTTTGATTTTTTTTTAATCTAAACATTTTTACAAATATTTATTTTTTAATGAGTGTGTACCCATGAAGACCATGATTGTATTGTGACGTTAGTGGACTGTATATTTCGCCATTTAAAATATAACGCTCGATTTTATTATCATTTATATTTTATTATAATTAAAACACTTTTAATAATTAATATAAACCGTTGAGGCATTTAGCTACGACGATCGACTAGCGACGACTGTCGTACACACAAAAAAAAAAACAATTACTACGGTCGCTCATGCGAACGACGATATCTTATCTTATACAATATAACATTAATAATATTACTGGACTCGACGGCGCACCATACGCAGTGGGGACACAACATACCGCCCCCCTTGAAACATTTTCAACACAAAAAAAATATAATTACATATGTGCGTGATACAAATTATTTTACAATAACAAAAAAAAATAAACACTAAATTGAGTATAATATTAAATAATTCTCAAATCAAATTACATATATAACTATTGTAGGTACAAAAAAATATAGTTTCAAAATTTTGATCCCTAGCTGTAACATAATGTCCAACAAAGGAACATAATATATTAATATAAATCAATTGACTATTTATTGTTATTCCCGTCAAAAGGGAGGGGACACAATTTCCGTACTGCTCGTGTGATGGAGCCCTTTTCCAACTTGACCTCAGCCGAACGAATGATTTCATCCGGACCCCGTTGTACGCTTGTCACTCTACCCAATTTCCAATACAGGGGGGAAAGATTTTCGTCACGAACTAGGACCACAGTACCAATGTCTAATTTAGGCCCTTTCTCGACTGCCCACCTTTTCCTCTCCTGGAGTTGATTTAAATATTCCCGACTCCACTTTTTCCAAATGATTTGGGAATAATGGTTCAATCTACGCCATCGTGTCAATCGGTTTATGTTGACATTCGCTACGTCAGGTTCGGGAATGGCTAATAGAGAGTCACCTATTAAGAAATGACCTGGCGTCAATACTGACAAGTCATTTGGATCGGTAGAAATAGGAGTAAGTGGACGGGAATTGAGACAGGCCTCAGCGCGAGTGAGTACAGTATACAGCTCTTCATACGTCAAATGAACATTGCCTAATGTTTTTTGAACTAGATTTTTCATTGATTTAACGGCTGCTTCCCATAATCCGCCGAAATGCGGAGAACGCGGGGGTATAAATCTCCATTGGACTTCAACTTCTGATAGCACTTCCTCGACCTTCTTCTTATGTTGTTCTGTTTGGAATAGGTCGTACCACTCTTTTAATTTACGACTTGCACCAACAAAATTAGTTGCATTATCCGAGTATATAGTTATACTCTTTCCGCGTCTATCAAAAAATCGATTTAGAGCACTAATAAATGCTTGCGTGGATAGGTCTCCGACCAATTCTATGTGTACGGCCTTAGTCGTAAAACATACAAACATACATACATAACCCTTTAGTAAAGGCGCGTTACGGCGTATACTAGATTTAATTAAGAACGGTCCCGCGAAGTCTATTCCACATTTCAAAAACGGACGTGCTGGTTCAACGCGATCGGCAGGTAATTGACCCATAATTGGTTGTATTACGACCGGCTTATATCGAAAACATTTTACGCATCGATGTACCGTACTTCGAGCTATATTTCGACCATTTAATGGCCAATATAGTAAACGTATCGCTGATAAGGTGGCTTGTGGTCCACCGTGCATACATCGTTCGTGTTCAAATTTGAACAATAAGCGCGTAAAATGATTATCTGCGGGCAAAACGATCGGGTGCCGCTGATTAATGTCTATCGTTGTAGCATTTTTCAAACGTCCTCCCACTCTTATTAAACCGTCGTCGTCTATGAAAGGGCACAATCGAAGTAATTTACTTGATGCTTTGACATTTTTTACTTTCATTAAATCTGACCTGTATTATTTATGTGTTTTGATGGTATATTCCCGGTAATCTTAGGTACTACTAACATTTTTAATGTTAAACTATAGTCGTCAAATCTCGATTTAAATTTAGTAATTACGTAAGAATGCGCGTGTTGTACCGTTGAACCGATACCACTAATCTGATGATCAGTTTTTGACTTTTTTAATTTTAAGCTTTGGACTAGTTCTTCCGTAATAAAATTGCTTTGGGATCCTGAATCTAATAACGCGCGGCATAACGAAAGTTTTTTACTGTCTCCGAATGCCTGTACTATCGCCGTTGATAATAGCACTTGTTCGTACTTGACGCAGTGCGTGTGTGCGGTCGTGGACGTATTCACTTCAGTTTGACGCTTTTCTTCTGTTGTCGATTTTCCGTCATTCGTTTTATATTGCATAATATGTAATAACGTATTATGTGTTTTACCGCACTTAAAACAATTACGCGACATGCATTTTCTTTTCAAATCGTGTTTGCGTAAACACAACTTACACAATCCAAGTTCACTCACTTTCTTGATACGATCATTCACTGATAATGATATGAACGTCGGACATTTATAAATAGTGTGCTGTAAATTACAGATAAAACAACTTATATCTGTAGTGGTGGTAAATGCTGTAGAAGCTGCACGATCTTTATTTTTTTTGTACACACTATTTTTAATTTCTGTTACGTATTTTATATTTCTTACAATATTTTTGGACGACTCCACAGCTTCTAAAGTTTGCGAACGCTCGTTCAAAAATATAATTAACTCTTCGATCTTTGCGATGACGTTTTTTGGAGCCTTCATCTCCCACTCCGTTAACGTATTCGTGTCTAGTTTCGTGCATATAATATGCATGAGTAGAGGGCCCCAATCTTTCGGACGTTGTTTTAACGCTTCAAGAGCCGCTATATGACCGCTTAAAGTGTCCGAAAAAATTCGTAAACTATCTGATGAATTTTCTTTTACTTCGTTTAATTCACATATATCTTTTACATGAGATTGAATTAATAATTTTTCGTTATTATAACGCGCGTTCACCGTTGCCCAAGCGTGTTCGTAATTTATAGCTGTGGTTTCGAAATTTTTTATGCAATTCGCTGCATCTCCAGTAAGCGATGACCGTAAGTGAAAAAATTTTTTAATTGGTGTTAATCTATCGTTTGTATGAACACATGCTATGAACATGTCCTTAAACGGTGCCCAATCGGTGAACTTACCACCGAACACCGGTATGTTCAGCGGTGCCAGTTTTATGTCCGATGACGTTGAGTTAACGCTCTCTCCACGATCTGAGCTTCGGACTGACGTATCATTCTGGTTCACTCGGATAGAGCTTGTCTTTTGCTCAGCTTCCGCAACTGTCTCAAAAAATAAATTTTCGAAATCGATTCTATATTGCGAATGATCCGATGTACTATCTACTTCTTCGATCGCAGTTTGAACTAACTCAAAATTTTGCCATGCTTCTTCTACTTTGATCTGACGAGGAGGTATTTGTTTTAAATCGCATTCCGATGACCTTATGAAATTTTGAAATCGCGTTACTACTGCTTTAATTTGACCGCGTCGCGCAATTAACGTATTGATATCGGGATCAACCATTTTAATCTAAACTATGATGGTTACTTTATGGGTATGTATGCAGTGCTATTTAGCTGGCGAGGTGCTCGATGTTATAATATGCTAGATAAGCACGATACGGTTATTCTATTGTACCTATACGCTGCTATCGATAATTGCCTTTTCACTGTGACAATTTTATTAACTTTGATAACGTAACTGTACTCTACTCTTTAGCCTGACCGGGAATTACTATATTTATTTTAGTAACGGTACAGGAATACTTTTAAATAATATGGAAAAGGAAAATATAAAAGTGACTCTCTTACCTTGACAGTTGACTTTCTTCTTTTTTCGATGTTGAATTAGTTTACTGTATCCTCACGCTTGACTTTAGGACATAAGCAACTACACTTTTACGCAGCGATGGTACTTGAGACAGGGAACGATATGCCGCTATATCTACTTCAGTATCCGATAGTTAAGACGATCGATGTAACTAAATTTCGCATTTGATCAAACGAGCACGCGCGTGGTTATTAATCCGGACGAATGGACCAAATGTACCCATGAAGACCATGATTGTATTGTGACGTTAGTGGACTGTATATTTCGCCATTTAAAATATAACGCTCGATTTTATTATCATTTATATTTTATTATAATTAAAACACTTTTAATAATTAATATAAACCGTTGAGGCATTTAGCTACGACGATCGACTAGCGACGACTGTCGTACACACAAAAAAAAAAACAATTACTACGGTCGCTCATGCGAACGACGATATCTTATCTTATACAATATAACATTAATAATATTACTGGACTCGACGGCGCACCATACGCAGTGGGGACACAACAGAGTGCAGGTACTTTTAGCGTAGCTAATGAAATAAAAACACAAATTGAAGAATATAAACCAATGATACGTTTATTGGAAGATATACTAACTCAAGGGATGAAGCGAAGGCATTGGGATATATTTTATGAAAAAACTGGTGAATAATTATTAATTATTGTAGTAGTTTGGTACAATACCTATTATAATAGTAGGTACCTGTCTGGCTACCTAAACCTAACTACCTACATATAGTATCCACATGTTATAATTTATAATATATGTTTAAATGTTTAGTAAAATTAATTCAAATAATACAATTAATGTGTTTAGGAATAAAAATTATATTATCAACAAAGCTGAATTTTAAAAAATGTTTGGTATTGGGTGTTCCAAACTATATAGAGGAGATAAAAGAAATATCAGACAATGCTTCAAAAGAATATACAATTGAAATAGCTTTGAATAAAATGATGGACGAATGGAATGGTGTAAAGTTACAATTGTTGCCTTATAATGATAAAGACATGTATATCTCAACAATATCAGATAGAGAATTACAAATGCTCGATGATCATATTTTGATAACTCAACAGCTATCATTATGCTCGTTTAAAGGAGTATTTGAAGAACCATTAACTCAATGGGAACATGATTTAAAACTTTCAAAAGATGTTATTAAAGAATGGAGTGAATTTCAAAAGTATAATACTTGATTTAAAGAGAAATTTCTTAATATCTACATTATGATGTATATTGTATATAGATATAGACAGGGCTTAAAGTGGGAAAAAATTCCATAAGCGTTCCATATATAACTTTATGTATAAATGTCTAATGTATAAAATACTATTTTGTTAAAGGGGACGATTTTTAATCACCGTCAGCTGTAGGGGGACTGAGTCCCCCTGTGTCCCCTCACTTTAACCTCTGCTAATAGGTATAGACTAATTTAGTAAAACTAAAAGTTAATTGTTAGGTATGAATAAAAAATAAAAATTTTAATTGATTTTTATTAATCTGGTTATAATTGTATTTATGACAATATGTTTAAAATACTCAAGTTAATTTTATCAACATTGAATACCTATTTATGTTTGAAGGTATTTATTCTACTTAAATTATATACCTACCTACCTATTGATAATGTTAAAAATTTGGCTATGGGTGAGTTGCGGCCCGGCGTGTCGTTTCCGGTGTTGGAGACCGGTGAATTGCGGCCCGATAATATTTTAGCTATAGGTGAGTTGCGGCCCGAACAATTATCATTATCTATGTACCTATTGGCTAGTAACTACATTATGTACGATGTACCTGTCAGATGGCTATACATATAGTGATAAACGAATTGTTCGATACGTATGGCAAGTTATATAGCAATACAGCCTGCAGAAAATGACCAAATTATGAAATTTACAGACTACATTTTTGAAAACTATATTTCTCCAGACGCTATGTTCTCCCCAAATATTTGGGCACAATTTACTGCTAGCTGCAACCGTACTACTAACAGCTGTGAAAGTTTTCATTCAAAACTAAATATGTCTTTCTACACTAGCCATCCTAATATTTATAAATTCGTTGATGTGTTACTAGAAGTTCAATCTGAAAAAAACATAAGATTCAGAAGTAAAAGTGTAAGAACAAAGAAAATGTGTGAAAAAGGAGCTTTCATTAGAGAGCAGATGACAAAACTCGAGCTAAAAGAAATAGATAATTTTGAATTAGTTAAATCGTTAAGTTTTAAGTTTTTGCCAAAACAATAGAATATTATTATCATTATATATTATATTCTAGAAACGCAAAATATTATTAGTTAATTTTTTTTTTATTTATATTCTTGAAATGACAAATATTAATAATATACGACAATACTAGAAAATAAGTAATATTAATAAATTTATATTGTAATGTTTATATACATGTACTATGTATAGTAGGGTGGCACTCAAATTTTTTTTTTTTTTTTTAGTTTTCTCATGTTTTTAATTTGATCTATTTATAATAAAAGTGATATTGTGAAAGTTAAAAAAATTTTAAAAAATTTTACGAGGTCGCTCAATGCACTTAAAAATACCAAATACAAAATAATAATATACCTATGATAATTTTATTTTTGTAATGTTAAATTTAATTATCAATGTAGTTTTAATTATATTAGGAACAATAAAAAGTAAATACAAATTGGGTTATTACATTACATAACTATTGTGTTGATAAGGTGTATAAATATCATAAGGTTTACAATCAATTACATTTGTAACAAAGTTGTATTTTTGGAATCAGGAAAATCTTTTCTGTGTTTTTCGATTACTTGCAGAATGTATTGCTGTTGTTCTTCTTGATTTGTAAGAGTTCCATTAAATGATGTCATCAATGCTATACCTCTTTCAGCTGCATCATTAACCACTTTGAGAGCTTTTACTTTTTTATATCCATCCAGAAATTCCGTACTATTTTTCCAAGTACTTGGGTGTGTCGTTAAAAAGTCAGTTTTAATGTTTAGAGCCGTAAAAAGCTTATGTGTATTATTTGTAACAAAATCATTTAATTCACAATTTGAAATACTATGTTCTGGTATTTTTATTCTGTGTTCAAGAACATTAGTCCCAATTTTGTCTAGAGACTTTACCATTTTTAATTTAATATCATCTGAAACTCGATTGTCAAAAAATGCCAATCCAATTAATGTATCACTAAGGTACCATAAATGTCCAGAAAAAACTTTTAAGGCTAATTTATAAAAATACCATTACTAGATTTTGAAAATTGTTTGAATAATGCAATATCTGGTCCATTTGATGGACCCATTAAACAATCAAACACTTTACCTACGACAATTTCAAAAATATGATGCCGACAGGCCAATTTTAACAATACTCGTTCTAATTTTTTTTCTAATAACACACATGCACCACTTTTAAGTCCTGTATTGCTAGCAGTTGTGTCAAAACACATAAATTGAACACGATTTGATAAGTTCCAGCCGTTAAGAAGATCATAAATTGCCTCAGCTATCATTTTTCCAGTACCTTTTAACAATTGTGGAACACCTAAAAGTTTCAAATTCCCATTTCCGGAAACTAAAACGGCTTGGCGATCTACGTGTTCTGTTTTTGTCAATGTTGGTAGGATTTTTCCATCAAAGTGAATTACTAGCGAGTCAGATGGATCAAAGGCAGATTTTATATCTGTCGCAATTTTTTCTCTTTGTTGACGACGAGCTCTTCGTATTGATTCTCTATTTAAAGCAATGCTAGTTAAATCTTGCCCAACTGATTGAGCCACAGTTGCTAATACAAATGTCGCATTTCTGTTACTTATATTAGTTCTGTCCAACTATATAAATAATGACTGCATTACATAACTACTTAGTACATACCTTACCTATCCATTATTAATTTTTATAGTACAAATTAGAGATGTAATAGCCTTAAAGATGTAATTGCCTTGAGCGACCATCAAATATTATTTGATTTGCACCAAACTTTCAACAAAGCATTTTTACACCAAATGGAACAATATTAAACCATGAGACATGATTAAAAAAAAAAAAAAAAAAAAAAAATACAAATGAGTGCCACCCTAATATATAGTCAGTTTACAACTGAAAATTTTAAAATAAGGTTTTTCTGGCTTATTTAAGGTCACTGAACTTAGAAAACATCGTCCTCAAAAAATTTGAATACTCAAATTTGAAATATGAGATGTATCTTATAGGACACAAAATCTCGAGGCCACTGTTTAACACATGTATCCCTGAAGATACATAATCCATATTTCTTATTACTTAGTTCTATAAATTATACGACGATCTATAATATTATATTGATGATCTAAAAACCAATTTAGGTTATTTTTTTTAAAACCTTTTATTATAATTATAAATTTATATCATTGATACATTATACTTATATGTAATAACAGAAAACATATTAACTTTTTTTCAGTATTTAGTTGCAAACTAAAATTATCTTTTGTAATAAGACATAAGTAACATAAATAAAAAAATTAACTAAAAATTATAAAATGTGTTTACATTATTGTAAATATAAAAATATTGATAACATAATACTTATATGTAGGTAATAACAGAAAACAAATTAACTTTTTTTCAGTCTTTGGTTGCAAACTAAAATTATTATTTATAGTGAAATGTTTTAAAGCAGTTTCTACTCTCTACATGACACAGTCTTACGTTACATTTTAGGCAAATGACAGTTGTTTGCCCAGTTGAACAAAAACGACACCTTCCTTTTTTGGTAAAATCAGGACAATGATCTACTTTATCATATCTAATTTCATCATATGGTCTTGGAGCAATTTCATTTTTAATTTTTTTGGCAGGAAAATCATAAGGTTTTTCTAATGGTCTACGTCCAAGATTAGGCTTGTCTTTATTAATATATAGGGGAAGTGCGGCGTTTGCCGCCCATCGGGTAATGCCGCCCACTATGATTACTCATAGTTAATAATTATTAAAGGTTTGTTGGCTACACTGTCGTATTTCAATTACGATATTAATGTTATCAAACAATCACCGAGTGATTATCACTTGTTTTAAATTATTTATTTACATTTTTTGGTTTATCACGTCTTCGATATAATATTTGTACTTCACAATTTAAGCTGTAAGTATTTTATTTTTTAATTAATATTTCCTCAACTTAAATAATATTTTCGCAAATCTTATGTACTTTATTTTAGTTTTTACCAAATCATTGATTTCTTTGTCAAAATGTATTTAATATGCAATTAATAAGAAAAAATAACATTGAGTAACGCCGCCCATAGTGGGCGGCATTACCCTTCACATACTTATATAAATGTACTCATTCACGTAGGTACTTAAAAATTATTAATTTTAAGATGAACAAGAAGGCATCGTGGACTGAAAAAGATTTGAAAGCAGCAATGCTTGCTATTAAGAAGGGTAAAGGGAAGTGTGAAAGTGCTAGACATTTTGGTAAGTTAATTTCACTAACCTACCTAGACATTTATGTGCACCTATTTATTAGAAAATTAGGTTTAAGTGATAACCTATTTAATTTGTTGAACAATAATTTAGGCATTCCATATTCTACACTTAATGATCGGCTAAAAACAAACAATACAACAAGTGCTAAGTATGGGCGTCTTGCCACTTTTACTGTCTCCCAAGAAAAAAAGTTAGCCTATCACTGCATTTATCTTGGTAAGATGTTTTATGGTCTTCCAAAGATATATTTGCGTAAGGCTGCTTACGAGTTCGCTGTAAGTAATAATATAAAACATAATATATTTAACGAAGAAAAAAAAATGGCAGGAAATGACTGGTTGCAAGCTTTTATCAAACGTCACCCAAAACTTAGTATTAGAAAACCGGAAGCTACTAGTATAGCAAGAATTTCTGGATTTAATAAAGATGCTGTGCAATTATTTTTTTCAAATTTGAATGAGGTATACCAAAAGTATAGTTTTCAACCCGACCGTATATATAATGTTGATGAAACAGGTATTTCTACAGTTCCTCAAGTGACAAAAATATTGGGACCAAAAGGTATAAAACAGTTGGGAAAAGTAGTTAGTTGGGAAAGGGGACGTAATATTACTGTTGTCTGTGCTATAAGTGCATCAGGTAACTATGTTCCTCCCATGTTTATATAGCCTAGGAAAGAATGTCAGATTTGCTTAAAAAAAGATAGACCTATTGGCGCAGTGTATGAATGCTCTAAGAAAGGATGGATTAATGAAGAACTTTTCATAGTTTGGCTAAAACATTTTGTTAAAATTACATGTGCTACTCCTGATAACCCCATATTGTTATTGTTAGATAACCATAGTAGTCATTGCACATTAGCAAGTTTTGAATATTGTAGGGTAAATGGAATTGTCATGTTATCATTTCCCCCTCATACATCCCACAAGTTACAACCACTTGATTTAACGGTGTTCGGATCATTAAAAAAATCTTATTCTAATTAGTGTGATTTATTTTTAAGAAACAATAACCATGAGAAAATAACACCTTATGATGTTGCTGGATTATTCAAGTTGGCCTTTGTGCGCATATAGCTACAGTAGAAAAAGCTCAAAATGGTTTTAAGGTGAGTGGAGTGGTTCCTTTTAACCCGCTTATATTTACGGATGAAGACTTTCTACCTGCATCAATTATTGCACCAGATGTTGAGATGATGACACAAGATGAAGCTCAACCAGACTCTCCTACTCCAACTATATTAGATTTTGTATGCAATTCCAGCAGGTGCGTGCCTAGAAATATTTTTCGGGGGGGGGGGGGGGGTTCAACATTTTTAATAGCGTACCTATTTGAAGTATTTTAGTGTATTTATTTTATTAGATATTAATTCGCTATATAGTGTCATATTATTCAATAGTAATATTAAAAAAAAATAATAATAATAATTTATAATACATTAAAATAAATTTTGAATAATTTGTCGTCACTCGTCATATATATTAGATAATCTAAAAAAAATCATAGAATGAATCCTTGTCTTCGAGGTATTAAAGCGAACCTTCTCACCACTTCATTAGGATCAACGTTAATTTCTTTTTGAATTGAAAGAAGAGCTAACCCAGTTAACCGATCTTCGCCAGTTGTGTTGCGCAAATATGTTTTGATACGCCGTAAAGTAGAAAATGTCCTTTCTGCGGTTGCCGTAGATACGGGTAAAGTTGCTAATATTTCCAACAGTTTTCTTATATTTGGGAAAAATACTTCATCACATTCTAATAATGACTCTACTGGATTTGAAGGTTTTTTTTCAATGTTATTTTTTAGCCATTTTAATTTCCATGTGGAGAACTCTTCATTAAATACTGTAGAATCTGGCAATAAACTTTCATAAAAGGTTATAGTATCTTTTGATAGATCTAGTGAGTTTACATTTATACGACTTGGAATTACTTTTTCTAAGTTCGTTATTATTTCTTTATGTTTTATAAAACGGTCTGCTAAATGAACAATAGTATGGTCTAAAAATGAATTAAATATTGTGCGTCTGTAATACTCTTCAGGTGATTGTGAGGGAGTATTATCCCGGTTTATTTGTTTTTTTACGCAGCGAGGAATTGTCACTTCGCTACCTACATCAATAAGTATTTGATTACATGTATCATATATTGATTTAAAACTGGAATCACTATTTTCACGAAGATTACTAAGAGCATCAATTATATTTTGAACATGATCACATGCAGCAGTTAAATCGGAATTCACAGTCTGTAAGTGATAACATAATGGTAACGTATAAGCAAATACTTTTTCTATTATGCTTAAAGTAATAAAAAATTGGCCATTTAATATTACTGAAAGGAGTTGATAAGCTTTATTGGAAGTTTCGGTATTGATTGAATTTTGGAGATCTTCTAACGCATGAATTATTGGAATGTACATTTCTTTAAATCGATTAATAGCATCGTGTCTTAATACCCATCTCGTTTCACACATCGATAACAGTACTGTATGTCTACTACTTGGAAAATGATTTATCACATGCTTTTTTAAAACATCAGTGCGTTGAGCTGATCCTCGAAAAAAATTACAAACTGACGATACACTACCCACAGTATTTCTAACAACAGTTATCTTACATGCATCATTGATTGCAAGATTAAGAGAATGCGCACTGCAATGGACAAATATTGCCTTTGGATATTTTTTACGTATTACAGCTTGAGCACCATTCAAATGACCACTCATAGAAGCCGCGCCATCATAACCCTGGCCAATTAAAAAGTCTAAGTTAATACCGGCCGATTGTAAATTTTCAATAATAGTTTTCGCTAGACCTTGGCCACTTAAATCAGAAACAACTACAAACTTTAAAAAATCTTTTCGAATTAAAGGGTATGTCAAATCGGGATCAATGTAACGGATACATAGAGACATTTGCTCTTGTTTAGAGACGTCAGTAGTTTCATCTGCCATAACTGAAAATATCTTAGCCTGGTTAACTTTCTCAACTATTTTTTCTGATATAATATCACTACAAATATTTATTAATTGATTTTGTACTTTAGCACTTGTAAATTGTGCATTTAAACTCCCTTCAGTTAAATGTTTTTTTAAATTTTACCACCAGTTTTCCCTTCTTCGTCTACATGTATACGTCCTGAATCAGTTTTTCCTCTTAAAGACATTTCTAATCGACCACAAAGAATAATTGTTTCAACTATTGAATATAGTTTTTTTCTATTTTCTGAAGCTTGACGGGCTTGTTCAGAGTTTAAGACTTCAATCACAGATTTTTGCTTTCGATAATTTACTGACAAAAAATATTCTGCGCGTTCTTTAGATAGTTTATGGTACTGGCAATTTTCATGATCATTAAATTTTTCTATCGCATTTTTCCATTTTTTAAATGGCTGTGTCACAAAACTTTTTGTTTTTTCGTGACTGCCTTTACCAGTATCAGAATTAGAAAATAGAACACAAAACTTACATAGAGCCCCTTTTTCTATTTCAGAATATACCAACCATGAAAATCTATTTATCCAACTCATTTGAAAACGTAAATTTCGTTTATTGGTATTATCTATAGGAAATACATATCCACTCGGGGGGACCCACGGAGATGTAAGTAGTTGTTCACGTTTCAAATCATTTAAAATAATATTTTTTTCTCTTAAGTTTATATACGCACCAATATCTTGAGAATCGAAATTTATTGACGTAGAAACTACATTTTCATTTTTGACGTTTTCGATATTTCCTATGTTGTCACTACCAATGTCTTGAGAATCGAAATTTATTGACGTAGAAACTACATTTTCATTTTCGACGCTTTCGATATTTCCTATGTTGTCAGTATCAGTTGTCTTTGGCAATTTATTTGTTCTTAATTGGAACAAATCTGTTATTTTATCTGACCTTTTCATCTTCTAGAAATTATAATGGAAACGCCCCTGAATACCAGTGATCAACCAGAAAATGTAAATGAACAGGCAGTTTCAACCACTAGAGTTACTATACAACAAATTTCACCTTTACATATCAAACAAAATAAAACACCAAAAAGGGCTGGAAAAAAAGGCACATCAAAAATTCTTACTGGAACCCCAGAAAAATCTGAACTGCAACGGAAAGAAAATAATAAATTAAAAAAATTAATTAAGGCCAATACAAAAATTATAAAAAAAGAGAAGAGTGTCAAAAAATCGGTGGTAAAGAAAAAATTGTATTCAAAAGATTCATCAACTAGTGGATATGAAACAATCAAAGATCTTTGTGATGATAACTCGGAAGGAGAAATTGATGAATTTGAAAATGAATTGTGTATCTTGTGCAACGAGTTTGGTAAAACTGAAATGTGGTTTAGGTGTGTGTGCAAAAAGTGGGCTCATAAAGAGTGCACAGGTCATGATAACTATAAAACATACATTTGTGATTTCTGTAAATGAAATGTTTTATTTAAATTTAAATTTATTGTACCTAAAGTAGGAACAAAATAATGTTTTTTATTTGATTGTTTTTTATTAAAATAACTTAAAAAGTTAAAAGTCTAAAAAGACTGACAGTTATGTTATAGTCATTATAATCCTAAATATTTAAATATTGTTATTAAAATAACTTAAAGACTGACAGTAGTTATTTTATAGTCATTACTCCTAAATATTTATTTAGGTATTAGATATTAAGGTAATATCTCAGTGTGTTAATATATTTTTGAAGTTTGGTAAACCTTGTTTTTTATTATTATAATTTATGTTACATTGTTACATAAATATTACTTATATTTTGAATATTGTTTAAAATGTTTTATTAAATGTATGATTTGTTTTCTCTCATTTTAATTATAAGTGTAAAATACTAAAATGTCATTGTTATCTTGTTACCTACTTCAAATGCTCTCAATTTGTTTTATTTTTTATTACAATAATTAAAATACTTAAAGGATGAAATGTAATATTTATAGTTATTGTTATTTTATATTCATTATTCCTAAATATTTACATATGGGACTTCCATATTAATAGATTGCCAAAGTTAGGTAAAAATATGTTTTATTGTATAATTTATATTGTTATTGTTTATATACAAAATGTTGAATATTGTTCAACTGTTTTAATAAATGTTTTACTTCGTTGATATATATATATATATTTTTATTTTTTTTACCTTTATATTATCGGATGGTTTTCTCTAATTTAATTTATCGGTGTTGAATAAATATATTATTAGTTATTACATTAGTTCATTATCAGCACAATTTTCATTGGTATAATAAAGCAATTTGGACATGTAATTTTTTAATTATAAAATTAATAACTTAAATCGTCCCAAAAAAAAATATTTTCTAAGAAGGATCTAAAAATTATATTGTCTTATACCTATTGCTTTAAAAATGATTGGGGTTTCATCAACTTTTTTAGAATTAAGCACACAACTACGACTATGTTTAGAAGGTAAAAAATATACTTAGTGTATTTAGAATTGGTGGGCGGCAAAACCCGATTACTGGGCGGAAAAATCCGACATGGAGGGTATTGCCGCCCAAATACTTTTTTTTCTAAATTTAGAATAGCTCACCAGCAAATTACTTTAAATACATTTAACCTAAACGGAAAGAAGAATAACAAGTTTATCTATCTAATTAGCTATAAAGCGAGGTTCTGGGACCATTTTTGTATTTTTTATAAGAGTTTCTGCTTAGGTGGGCGGCAAACGCCGCACTTCCCCTACGGACAATAAGGCCATTAAAACAGATATTTACCTACATATTTTGAAAAGATAACAATAAATTATTAATAGTACCTGTAATTTAATATTATAATATAACATTAAAATAATTAGAAGATTATAGTCTTTTATTAACAAATTGCTACCTATAAAAGTATAAGTAATGAGGTATTTTAGTATTTATAATAGAACGTACCTATTATAATATTATACTATATAGGCCGTGTTGGGGAAATTACTATTTTTTGGTAATTAAATTACATCATAAATTATTAACCTTAAAAATTGGAATTAAATTATTCTTAATTATTTTAACTTCTTTAGGTACAAGAAACGTCAAACAATATAAAATTATAAACAATCATTATTAGAGAATTAAACAAGATATTTGTTATACTATATTTGTTATTCAACAATATTATTGTTCAACACGTTATTCTTTATAACTTAGGTACTTACATTAAAAACAATGCATTCTCCAAATTACAACTTATTATAAGAATAAAACTTTTATGTCAAATGCAATATTATTTTTGTTTTACAAACATTTTGCTGTCAGAAAATGTTATTCACATGATATATTATAGATTCGAGATACATATATTATATATTACGTATTATCAATTGTTTCTTAAAATGTATTAAAAAAAAATTAAGTTAAGTGTAATTTAATAATTTTGGTATAAAAAATAATAAATAATAACAGTTATTACTGTCAGTACATTTTTTTTGTTACCTACTTTATAGTTTAGGTATACCTAAGGTAGTTATAACATTAGCTACCTACCTATAAATATATTGGTACCAATAATAATAATAATAATAATATCTGATGCAGTGATGCATCTTGGATTTGATTGAAAGTAGGTACATGATAACCTTATTTATTAAGTTAATATCAATAAAAATCAGTCAATTTAAATACTGAGTTAATGAAAATGTAATTAAAAAAAGTTTAAATTAATTCAACTAGCTTAACTTTAACCCTTTAACTCGTTTATGCACAGACTTGAAATTACATACAACATACATCAAATGTATCTGGATCAGACATCAGTAGAATAATATGCTCCATTTTTGTTCATATTGAGTATTTCAGAGAATATTGGAGGTGTGCAATCTTCAAATGGTGATTTATTCAAATCACTATCCCACACAAAATCATCATTAATACCTTTCATTGGAATGCAAGATTGCTCGATTAGTGTAGCATACCCTTTTTCTGAATTTATCACTATCATTCTTAGACGTTCCTATACAGGTATAATTATACGGTATTATAAATTTAGATAATATAGGTAAACCACGAAAATACACAATTTCTTACTTCCATCATATACTTAAGAAGTGTCATCAATTTTCGTAATTTGTTGATCGATGATTCATAAATCTTAATTTTACTTATTGAGATATCGAACCAACAGTTTTTTACATTTTTTAAAGCTGAATAGCATTTGAAAGTAATTTCTTTTGTCCAATAGTTCTTAAGCAAATTAAAAGTCTAAACACAATACATTTGTGGGGATATTAAATAATGCATATTTTTACTATAATCACAAAAAAAAATTACTTCAAAAATATTTTTTAACTGCATTGTTTCAAATTTGTTTAGCGTTACTGCGATTGGAAAAACAATGGATAAAAGACGCGTATCTTTTACAAATATGTTTTCTACGTTGGAGTCACATAGAGCTGTAAAAACTTCAGCTACTTCTAATAATTCATTTCTATTGAATTCTTCTTTTGAATTTATAAATGATTTATATGCACTCGGTATTGTACTTAATCGTGCTGTTAAATATTATAAAACAATAAATACTCTGTCATTTTTTAATTTAATTATTACTATATCGTACTAGGCTTTCTTATGAATAGTATTATAGGATAGATCCCCCCTTGACCTTTTTTTTTTGTTAAGTTAAGTTTTCTTATTTTCTGTATTTCTCAATATGATATTACTTCATATCATATTACTGATGTCTGTTTTCTAAATGTTCTATCCGTGGTAATTTTACCGCTCTGATATACTATACGCCACTATAGTCGTTTGCGGCATATATGTGACTATTGGACAACAAAAACATATACGTACTTGAAGTTGGCACCCCGACATCCTCCAATCAGAAATCAATCAATATCATTTTTTTATAACCAATTTGCAACAATTTGCAATGCTCATAAAAAAATTTGCAACACATTTTTTACGGTGCTACAGACAAACATAGCATTAACATAGCATAACAACAAGCATTGGGGTGCCAAATTCACGTGGCAGCCCGACATGGTCCGATCGGTTCCAAATCGGTGTCACTTTTTTGCATCCAATTTTCAACGATTTGCAACGTCGATCAAAAAATTGGCAACGCATTTTTTACAGCATTTTTAATGTTTGTATTTATTTTATTAATTTATATTATAAATTAGTTAAGGGTTATTTTTCTTAAAAAATTTTAGTTTAAATTATATCTAACAATAATTAATAAAACAATGTAAAGTAATAGTTAATTAAACTAACTATTAATAAATGAAATTAAAATAAGGTTAATATAAAGTTAACAAAAATGTTAATCAGAATGTCAAATTTATGAATTTTAATTATTTTTATTAATTCAATTTATTCCCCTAAACGGAATTTCGGTCATGCCGAGGTAAAATATGAGTTGCAAATTGGTTGCAAAAAAATTGACACCGATTTGGAACCGATCGGAACATGTCGGGGTGCCAACTTCACGTACGTAAAACATATACCTCTATGGGAGTATGGTATACTGCATTTGTATTAGAACCGACTTAGGGCCCATTTTACAATCATAATTTAAACCTCGGCCACTGATTTTACCGGTCGAATTCCTTGGTATAACATTAGCTATTAACTATTCTAATACGGCCCCTTAATGTGTTGGCTTTATTGGCATGTCACCGGTCAATACAATAATCATGCCAGATGAGCTTATCCAAAAAAATAGAAAACGGGATTTTGTGTTATAACTATTTTTTTGTTTATCGTATTAAACACGGGATTTGTGTTAGTATGAATTTATAATAAATGCTATTAGGTACCTACAATTTGTGTTAATTCTTATTTAGCTTTGATCTACACTAACCTCAACAAGTTAGGGGATTTTAATAATGTATATTATGTAGGAACGTATTTATGGGTGTACCTATTATTATATATTTCATCCCCCCTCAGCAAAATTCCTAAATAATAGAAAAAAATTACCAGAATATACTTCTGGGAGAGAAACTAAATTACCAAAACATATTAAGTTGTATGATATTGTGATACCGTTTAATGTTTATTTCGATAAAGAACCATCAAATGCAAGTGTGTCATACGTCTATATTATAGCTCTACGTTAATATCAAAAACCTATTATAAAAAAAATGGGCTATTCAGGTAATACTGATTGTTATTTTATTATTGAAAATTACTAGGTACCTATTAAAACGGTCTGCATGAAATAGCATGATAATGTAATTGACTATTTCACTAAAAAAAAAACAAGAAAAATCAATTTAGTATATAAATACAATGCTTTTATTAATTATGGGTTTTATTTTAAAAAAACATACCTATTTATTCATATATAAACGTTTCTGAACCCTATCTCTATTTGCAGGTGACAAGTCGTTACAGTGGTGTATTTAGGATTTTGTCAAGTTAATCGAAGAAATTATTCAGTTGCCGAGGTACTTATAATATGATTAATGATTATGGTAGGTATATTCAAGGGCGCATGTAAACTCCGCCTCAAGTACCTTTTTTTACTGTAAACTCCGCCAGAAAAAAAAAAAACAGGTAAAATTGGGTTTATGTAAACTCCGCCACTGAAAAAAATCAGGTAAAATTGAGTTTATGTAAACTCCGCCAGTGAAGAAAATCAAATAGTAGTATAAAATTAATATGATGTATTATTAAAAAAAAATTATAATATAATATAATATCATATCATATCAATATTTAAATCATAGTATAAAAAATCATAATAAATAATCCAAAATCATATTTTTCATAATAATAATTAATAATTGTCAACATTAAATATACACAAATCATAGTCAAAAAATAATAAATAAATAATCGTCCACATAATATAATAAAATATAATAAATAATTAATAAATAATCGTTATAAATATTGTCATGTATGAAAACTATAATGATGTGATACAATTTGCAAATATTCTAAGTCTTGTATTTCTTTATTAGTATACCTATTCATAGCATCCTGTAATACTGTCATTTTTTTTTTTTTTATTTCGAATTTTTTAGCTGATTTACTTGAGATATGCCATTTAGTTTAATATAAGTTTGGGTTTGAAATTCGATAAGAACTTTACTAAAAATGTGAACACTCGGATGACTTTTATAAAATGAATTTCTCAGATGACTATGAAAGGATTCACAGGCATTTGTTGTTCGATTTAAATTTGCAATTTGCAAGTGAGTACTGTCGCACTGACCAGGTAGAAAAAAAACTGGTGGAGTTTACCATAGACCTATTATTACCTTTTTATCCTGACCGATATTCTGGAGGAGTTTACAATCGCCCATATTCAATTATTTAATAAATATTAGATTAACTGAAACATGTTAACCATAGGCGTGCGCAGGGGTATGCAGGGTATGCAGTTGCATACCCTGAAGCTCTTTGAGGGGCAAAAATCGTTTTTGGAAAAAAAACTTTTGTGAGCAAGAAAAATAATTACTAATTATAGTGCGGCCCAGGAGTGTACATATTATTTTGTTGAAACTCGAAACTCGTCCGTTCACCATCTCTGGCGTTGTGTATATATTTTATCAGAATTTTACATTCTTAAAATAACTTTCAGGGGGTGCCGGTGGTAATCCAGTGCTTAATTTGGGGGGGGGAGAAAAGAGTACAAAATTGGCTTAGCACAGTGTAAACACTGTAAACAATAGGAAACTAGGCCGATTGGAGGGATAATGCCCCTTTTGCCCCCCCCCCTCCTGGATCCGCCACTGCTTCTGCATACCCTGAACAAGAGGGCTGCGCACGCCTATGATGTTAACCATGGCCATATTTTAAAGCTGTTCGGTAACTTTGAACCCATAATAATATTTTATTCTTTTTATAATCCTTACGATGTTTTTATCTTTGTTCATTTTCTTGATTCGTTGACAGTTGGATATTAAACGTAATATTTTTTCAATTGTTTCATCTGGTAATTCGTCTGAAATATTTTTGGAATGTTTATCAACTAGAACTTTATTAAGATGCTTAGACCACCTGGAATAAAACCATATTATCATAACTTTTTAGTTTTTATCATATATACCTCCTACTACTGGAATACCTAGTCTGGAAATAAACGAATGGGATCACGCAGGAGGGGGCATGTCCCTATCATTTTAGTTAATGAAATTTTTTTTATCCTTAAGGGGAACGCAGCAGACGTATTTTTCATGCGTTTTAGACCAATAAGCGGTAGTAAATTACACATACTTCGGAATGTCCGATTTTAATTTTTTATACATGTATGAACTCTTTGACAAAATATCTAAGTTATTTAGGAAGTCGATTTTCAATTTTCAATTTTTAAGGACCTTAAAATAACGATTTTTTTTTCAAAAATCTCATGAAATAATTGCATTACATTTATATTTATTTTGGGCACATCTAATTTTAAATCAAAAAAGTGATTCCTAAAGAGCATAGTCTAGAAGTTTATAAATTCAACCATATTTTCAAAATTACAATCGGACTTCAGGAAGTATGTTTAATTTACTACCATTTTTAGTAGTTTTTATAGCATTGCAACCATGAATATATTTCATTTTTCGTAAAGTATTGACATGTGCCTGCGCGTGCGATAGTTTATTTTGGCGGCGCGGCGGCTTGCGACTGCCGACGGGCCGTGATAGATTCTCGGAAAGTCAGAATCAATTAGTATACGTAATACGTATTATTATAAAAAAAAATCCCTGGAATAGAGACTGACAGCGACACTGTACTCGTATTCTCACTAACTCCCTCAAATGGCTCCCCTGCAGATTAAAAAGAAATTCTCAATGACAAGTTACACTAGAAATCTATATGAAATACATTGTAAATTGAGGTTTTTGGTTTTTAATTGATAATTATATAAGTACCTATATAGGTATGCAGTTTTATGACCATTAAAATATCTTAACGACTTAACAACTAAATAGTAATTCTAAAAATATAAACTAAATAAATACTTATGGAATGATGTTGGAAGTGTTCTTATGTTATAATATTGCTTTAATTTGCTTTCATAAAACACAAAAATTGAATGAAAAATACACAACTAATAATATATTAGAATTATCAAAATAAACAATTTTTGAATTAAATCAATTGTATGAGATATACAATTCTGTAAGCAGTGTAAGCCATATAATAAATATTATTATCGTTGATTTTTTACAATACCTAGACATAATTAACAATTTATTATTATGAATCAATAATGATTGAAATCCACAAATCTTAACAAAATTAGTAAGTAATAATTAAAATTGACAATTTTTTTTATGCACATTATAAGTTAAATAAGTCTTAAAGCAGGTACCCATTATTTAAAGAGTAATGACAATTAGACGAACACCAATTAATAAGATTCGTGAAGTAGAATTTTTAACATTAATCGTTTTTAATAAATGTATAATATATTGTATATTAGGTTATTATTTAGGTACAATGTTTGCAGTAATACTATGTACTTATGTATATATTTCCCATATACGTTGGCACGTTGCACTTTTGCAGTATAATACGTACGACCTGTACGACCTGTCGATGTATAACACATGACTATACTACAGGCATATAATATATACGGCAATAAATCATCATTTACTCGTTCATCATTTATCATACAAGGGGCTGGGGAGATTTTCCGATTCCGATATAAAATGTAGGTATGTGTAGTGTGTAGGTACAGTGCGTCAGTGCACAGCCATGCAAGTTACAACTACAGGTACCTATTTATAATAATAATTTATAGATAAAAATAATAACTTGCTGACTGCAGCCTCCACTGTAATTGCGGTCATTAAAAAGGTATAACCTACCTATTAGTGATGCACAACGATATATTTTCCGTTATCGATATCGGTTCATTGATATCGATATCATATCGCGATATCGAAAAACAAACGATATCGATATCGACAAACGATATATCGATATAATTTATTTTTATATATAATAGGTTTTTTTTTTGAAATTAATATTTCTTACATTAAAAAAGTGTAAATAAAAAGTATAAAAAAAGTTTTCATATTATATTATTAGTTATTATAAACAAAAATGTCACTACGACCTCCAGGTAATGGTACTATCTTAATAGAACTCATAATTTTTATTTAATTATTTAACTTATTGATTATAACTATTGACAAAGAAATTATTATTAATTTAACTTATTAATTATTTAACTCAAAAAAACGAGACTAATTGTAAAAATCCAACAGTCACAGCTATATACGTCTATTGTAAGAGCTTTATCGTATTGCTTATCGTTGGTGTTTAATCGTTCTTAGACATTGATTTACAGTCAAAACTCATATAAATAGAAAATAGAAATTTCAAATTGCAACGAATTGATATCAATTTTCGATATCGATAAAATGTTGGATATTTACCTGCGATATCGTATTTCGATATCGAATATTATTTTTGTCATATCGATATCGGTAAAATTGGTCTGATATCGATATCGATATCGAAATACGACATCATTGTGCATCACTACTACCTATATATATATATTATACCTAATATGTATCATATACCCTACGGGACACCGCGGTGTTTGGACTTTTTTCATGGGGATTATTGAATTTTCCGTTATTGTCCTGCCACTACGTTCTATAATTCTATAAAATATAATTTATTAATAACTTGTATGTTCACGAAGGACACGCCGGTATATGATACCTATAACCTATCTATAAAATAAATTACAAGGCAAAATAATTTATTCCATCGACGTTATTGAAAAATATAAAATATAAATTATATTAAAACAGTGTAGGTACCTAATATAAGTTTAATCCCTGACTCGAAGGGTACTGGATATTTGTTGTTGTAGTTGTGTCTCTTGGGTGCATTGTACATAATATGAACAAACACGGTGAAACAGCCTAATATATAATATAAAATGTATACACAATACACGTTGTTATATGTATTATATTATATACATACTGCAGTATTATATAGGTATATTATTTATTTATTTTCAATAATAAATTATCATTACCCATTGACGTCGGTATTTTGTAATATAACATTATAATAATATAATGTATATTTATGTACAACTCGTTTAGCATTTAAATAATATTATATTATATTACGATTTATATTTTTTATGGACGAATGAAGAATCAGGACATAAATACTAACTAGTAACTAACCTGGCTACATAATATTCACATATAAATTTAAAACGTTATAAATAATAAATATTAAGTACTAAGTAGATAATATTAATATGACGTGTTATTGTGAATCTCAGACCATGAGAAATCTCTGGAGAGACTGATTGTAACCCCTTCCACCCGAAAGTTTTTTGTAATTGCGCCACGGTCTCGAGCACACTTCTGTAACACGATTCCGTGTTTGTACGGATCGTCAAAAGATATTTTAAGATCGGAATGCTTATTATTATAATTATTATATAGTTTAAATATTGTGATCTCCATCAGTCTTGTAACGATAAATGTATATTATAATGTAAATAAAATTATATAGGAATAAACGAATGTTATTGTCATATATAGTACATATTATTTTTTTTATTTTTTAAATTCTGAGTGGAACGATGAATGTATTGATTTTACAATGATGTGATTTATTATTTTTTTATTTTTTCATTTTTTTTTGTGTCTGTCATCACCTTTAAGGACAGTAAAAGTGCTTGGATTTTCTTCAACAATATCTTTTCTGATAGGAAAGTGAATCTAGTTGGTACCTACTTTGGGGGAGGGGGTGGTCAAAAGTAAAAATTTCACAGTAGTTTATAATCATTGCAAGAAAACGACGATAGTTATTACCTACTCAAATTAATTGTTTTTTTATAGTTTTCCTTTTCTTTTTTTGAATAGTTATTCATTTATTTGGGTTTAGAAATCTGAATGTACACTGCAGTCTCCTTCTTCTACTAGCTGCCTAGTTGGTACAATAGAATTTTAAATTAAATTAAATTAAATTAATTTTCTTGTGGTTACCCCTATAATAAAGTCTGGAGTTATAAAGATGAGTATTATAATTCATTACGTATAGTTCAAGGGGGAATGGGACTTTTCGGCGCTGCCATTTCGGCGATAAATATTTTCGGCGCTGCCGATTCGGCGACAATGACAAAATACATATTATAATGAAAATTATTTTTAGTATAAAAAAAATTAAAAATTGCACTAAATGCATTTAAATTATTTTTAATAACTAAAAAATTGGAAAAAAAATTTATATTTTATTTTTATAGTATTGTTATTATAGTATTTATTTGTTGTTTAGTTCTGGACGTACATGTTCGATATTTAAAGTGGACTGTATACTTTTATTTTAAATTGGTTAGTGTTTTATTATATTATACACAATAATGATCTTCGGTGGACGGTATAGTACCTACAACGTTCGAGAGACTACGGATGACAACTGATCGGCAAACACATTATTATCGCGGGTCGTGACAGTCGAGATAATACAATTTATTACAGTGATATTATAGGTACCTACCTCACAGTACTAATTGGTTACTATTACTACTAGCTATGATAAAATAAAACTTGTACCTATGTATACATGTATGGTGTTGTGGTGATTCCGACGCGTTATCACCACTTACGCTAGCGCGCCCTTTTTCGAATTACCATTTCCATTTTGTATAACCATTTTTACATTGTATTCGTCATGTGATTTATATTGTATTCGTTTTATTTATTGTCTCTGTGAATTTATTATAAAATGTTGTACCGTCTTTGGTCACGTGACGACCCGCCGCTCGACTTTTTCTCCCGCCGTCGCGCGCTACTCTCGTCACTCGCTTTTTCGCTCTCGAAGTCTCAACTCGAGCAGCCCCACGTCTCGACGACTCGCCTTTTTATACTTACCCGTTTTACCGTCATTCATCAGTTTTGTATTTTAATTATTTTGTGTTTAAATAATACACTTCGAACGTACGTCGAAATTGTTGTTCCGTTATTAACTACCTACCTACTTTAAAACCTCCTGATTTTGGTAAATAAACGTAAGTAATATCCGTTGCCGCACCCGAACCACGTTTTGGACCACAACAGTGGTAACGCACGGGTATTACCACAGTGTAATAAAAATATTAATAAATGATAGCCAATAGGGCAATAGGTATATGACGGCGATAATTTGATCGGAAAGGCCTAAATATGATAAAATAAATTTTAACACTGATGTGTGAAGTGTATAACAGTGTGTAGTGTTGTGTCGTGCGACGTGCAGTGAAAATGGCATTGATTGAATCAAAACGTAATTGTGAAATTTTAAGACACGATGGTTATATGTACATTTTCGATAAGTTAAGTGCGAATAGTTAAATTTTGGAGATGTCGAAGAAAAGATATTTGTCCAGCAAGGGTGCATACTTCATTAGATAATTTAGAGATTATCAAACTCCCTACAAAAGAACACACCCACGATTCTGAATCTATAGAAATCGAAGCTGAAATTGTAGTCACTAAAATGAAAAGACGGGCAATTGAAACGATGGAGACAACTTCTACTATAATAAATGAATGTGTTAACGGATTAACACAGTCAGCAAAAGTAAGTACCTAAAAATATATTTATATAAAAATAAATAAACATAACAATACATTATATAAGATATGCGATATGCCTATACATATTCAGCATAAATAAATATAGGGCCATTCTACTACGTAGTTTGTATCTTTTTAGGGAATCCTTCAAAATAATGAAGCGTTACGAAAAATGATTAGGAGAAAACGGAATGAAGTAAATTCAGCTCCAGCGGCACCAATAGATTTAAAAACTCTACAGTTACCCGAAATATATAAAACTTACTCGCCAAATGATGGAATAAACGAACAGTTCTTATTAGCAGATAGTGGGCAGGAATCAGATAGGGTCTTAATATTTGGCCGACTTAGTGGACTAAAAATATTAAAAAATTCCCGAACCTGGTACTGTGACGGTACTTTTAGAATTGCTCCATTGTTATTTTCCCAGGTTTATGTTATTTTGGCAGAAGCATTAGGAGGTGTACACCCGATAATATATGCACTACTTCCAAGCAAAAAAGCTAGTGTTTATGAAAAATTATTAAATATGTTAAAAACGCTTGAACCAGATTTAAATCCAGACTCAATTTCTTGTGATTTCGAACTTGCTGCTTTTACAGCTATAAAAGATGCATTCCCTAATGTACAAATATTTGGATGTTATTTTCACTTATGTCAAAACTTTCGATCTAAATTAGGTGAGCTACATTTAATAACTCGTTATAAAAATGAACCAGAATTTTGCATACAAGTAAAAAGTATTAGCTTTCGTTCCTATATCAGATCTTGATGATGCGCTAGATATTTTATCAGAAAGTTTACCCGAGGAGCTAATAGATATATTAGATTGGTTCGAAGACTTTTATATTGGCCGGAATAATCGTAGTCGTGAAGGTCGACGGCCTGCGCGATTTTCTCCGACAATGTGGAATTTATACGAACGTGTATTAACAAATAAAGACCGTACAAATAACCATGCTGAAGCGGCGAATAGAAGATTAAATCAGTTAATGGCAAACAAACCTACAATTTGGGCTTTCATAAGCAAATTACGTAAAATACAAGCAGGAACGGATACACAGTATGAGCATTTGGTAACGGGTAATAGTCCACGGAAAAAGTTAAAAAAGTTTAGAGACACAGACAATCGTATTTATCAGCTAGTTGATAGATACGATAAAAATGACATTCCAACTTTTATCAGGGGAATATCAAATAATATAGCGTTGAAATAAAATGTTAACTATAATTGTATAAACATTAATTAACATTAATTGACTAAGTTATTATTATTATATTATTATTTTTTTACTAATGTACCTACATAATTTTTTAATCTATATTATTTTATATCTAAATATTTGACTATAATTGTATAAGCATTAATTAACATTAATTGACTATATTATTATTATTTATTATTATATTATTATTTTTTACTAATGTACCTGCAACATTTTTTAATCTACATTATTTTATATCTAAATATTTGACTATATAAGTTATATTATATTATTTTAATTATTATCATTCTAATAAAAATAATTTAAATGCATTTTTATAGTGCAATTTTTATTTCTTTTTATACTAAAAATAATTTTCATTATAATATGTATTTTGTCATTATCGCCGAATCGGCGTCGCCGAAACAGCAGGGCCGAAAATATCTATCGCCGAATTGGCAGCGCCGAAAAGTCCTAGACCCAGTTCAAGGTGTCTGCACGTGACTTGTTTTTCTCAAAATCATACCTTATATAAAAGTAAAACTCTCACGCCCTGAAGTGTTCCCATTTCTCTATTTTTTTTTTTGAATTAGGACTTTTTACAGGGCATATTGGACTTAGGTTTTAAAAATTCTATTCTAAATCATATAATAAGATTTTGAATGTACCCAATTTTCACAAGTTTATTTTTTATTAATATTTGTTTTAATCAACGTAATCAAGAATCGAAGGCCAATAATTCTCTGTAAAACATCATCCTATTTTCGCCTTCACTGCCCCTTCCCTAAAATAAGCCACTGAGGATAATACTGTAATATAATACGCATAAAGCATATGTATGAATGAATAATTTTACAAGCTGTTAAATTAATAATACGATTCATAACACCTTTTAAAGTGTTAAGTAGCAACTATTATAATGCGACCTTCATAAAATCGTTTAATCGTGTGGCTCTTTTGCATTGCTCGGCAACGGGCAGTAGATATGTACATGAAATATATAATATTTGCATTTAAACAAAATATAAAAACGTCATACTTTTTTTCATCCATAATTTATATACACCACCTAAAATTATATATCATATATTATGTATTTAATATTATGTCACGCGATGTTACTTATATGTAAATCGATTCGTATCTCCATAGGTACCCTTCCCATATATATAGATGGATGCCTGCAGGCTGCAGTAATATACAGGGTGTATCTTATGTCATTGTACGCGGTGTTTTTTGACGATTACGGAACGATGATATGGAATTTCGTTAAGACGAAAAAAGACGTGTTTCTTTATTTTTAACAAGCAATTTTTTTATAACAATTTCAAAATTTTTAAACACGCAGGTGTACCAATAGCAAAATCAACTTTTTTTTTCAAATGGTAACCACTATATTTTTAATGGATTCTGGTAAAGCTTTTTTTTCTGAACATTTTGGTACTCGAATCGTCAATTTTGGTTCGCTAGTTTATTAACTATGGTCCTCCAAAGATTAGTAAAATATGCATTAATACTTTTAATTAAAATAATGGGTATAGGTTTAATTTACAAGCGCTAAACTATTTTTTCTTATAACTACCATTTGATAAACTACAATAGTTGAATCGGTAATCGGTAATCTAATGCACCCCCCCAAAAAAAAAAATAACAAACATAATTGTTTGTAAACATACTTCATTTTTTTATTTTAACATACGATCATAAAAATCAATATTATTATTTTAATTTATTTTTCTAATCGTAATTAATTACTTCACATTTTTTTCATCACAGTTACTTTTCTTACAATATCATAAATTTGAATTCTTAATTAGGTAGGTGGCTAAGGTAATAATGGTAAATTGGTAAATGGTATTCGATTGTTGACATTAATATGTGCAACGAAAAAAGTGCAATGTTTTGTTGTGCTCTTTTCGAAGTGGTATAAAGTATAAACTTGATATTTTAACCATAGATTCCCTATAATGGTATCGCATTCAAAGTATGAACTTAGGAGTTGTAATTCATCCCTTTCGATCCTTTTTAGTTTTGGATATTATAATAATATTGATTTTTATAATTGTATGTTAAAATAAAAATAATGAAGTATGTTTACAAACAATTATGTTTGTTTTTTTTTTTTTTTTTTGAGGGTGTCATTAGATTACCGATTCAACTATTGTAGTGTATCAAATGGTAGTTATAAGACAAAATTGTTTAGCGCTTGTAAATTAAACCTATACCCATTATTTTAATTAAAAGTATTAATGCATATTTTACTAATCTTTGGAAGACCATAGTTAATAAACTAGCGAACCAAAATTGACGATTCGACTACCAAAATGTTCAGAAAAAAAAGCTTTACCAGAATCCACTACAAATATAGTGGTTACCATTTGGAAAAAAAAAGTTGATTTTGCTATTGGTACACCTGCGTGTTTAAAAATTTTGAAATTGTTATAAAAAAATTGCTTGTTAAAAATAAAGAAACACGTCTTTTTTCGTTTTAACGAAATTCCGTATCATCGTTCCGTAATCGTCAAAAAACACCGCGTACAATGACATAAGATACACCCTGTATAGTTATACCGTTGCAGATCTATTGACGTCGTCGGATGAGTTGTGGGTGGTGAAAGGAGCCTTTGCCTTCCCGTCCGTCATGATTTTTTCCATTATCCTCTTTTTAGAGTTTAAGCAATTGGTATTTGTATAGGACGCCATTACTGCGCAGACTTATACAATATATATACTCGTCTTGTCATAGGTACCTATTATAAATCTACCCTGCAGCGCGCTGCTATAATTTTGAAAATCTTCGAAACGAACGTCATTGCAGCGACAGATGGCTATAAATTATATTATTACAGACGAAGGAGGAAGAAAAAAATAGTATTATAATAAAATAAATAGCGTTTTCCGCCACCGTCAGTCACCGGGGGCGCGTTTCTCGTCGGGGGGCGTCGCGGTCTGAGGTCGGTCACCGTCGCCTTCGCCGCTGACGCCGAGTTTTCCGGTGGGGTTCGTAATAATAATAATAATAATAATAATACGCTGTACGTCGCGTACGCCAAACGCCACGCACCCACATCGCAGGCGGCCGCGCCTATTGATCCGCCGCACACACGACTGGCCCCCCCGCCGACGCGTCGTCTACCTGTGGAACACGGAGTGGATACACATATATGCGGTACATATCGTTGAAAAAGGTAATTTAAATAACGGCGATACGGATGGTAAAATAATAAAACAAATAAATAATACAAACAACATAGTACGTAATTATACTTACGATGATAAAAAAGAAGTGCATAGGTCCTATATGAGAGCGTCACGGGACGAGTGGTGTACGTTGTTCGCGATCTACGACGGTATTAATAATATTGATTTTGAAATGTGATAATTATTAATGATCTACGGACGATATTCGCAATGATATTATGTATTTCTACAACGACGTTATCCGCGGTTTTTCGATACGATGAAAATATATAATAATATATAGTGCAGCAACAGCCGGATAGCGGGTTATGGCGGAACGGGTCGTTTCCGCGTTCGACGGTGTATATCTAACCTAGGTACATATTATTATAGATAATTGGTAATTGATTATAAATAATATAATATAACCCGTTCATTTGTGACGACGATATTTTTTTCATTCGATTTAGATTGTAGTCGTACCATAATTTCGACTTACACGTGCGACGATACGCGATTATTGTTCATGGTTTAAGGCAGTTATTTAAATAATATGACATTGTGCAGAATACTACTAGCAGCGCGTCGCGAGTGCATTTCCCGGTCGGTGTAAGTAAGAACATCAGTTGCACATTATTCAGCTGCGGGCGCCCGCTATCTGTTTTTAATAATAATAATAATAATAATTAATAGCACGAATAGTAACATGAATATTACAATAATTTAGGGAGGGTAAATTAATATTTTACACGACCATCGAATGTTTTATTAATGTTTAATCGCGCGCATACGTTGTAACGTGTGGAAGGTCGGTCATCGGTATTATCGTCTCGGGTAGGACGATCGAGAAAATCCTGGTGATAAACACTCAAATCCAAAATCACCACTGCGGCGCGCCTTACTCGCTAGTCCTCGTCACGTCGTCGATATACACACATACATATGTATATACATTTATATTCCCACACATTTATATATCGTAACATCATCGTCAAACACTGCAGTACGCCCGCTCACAGTGTACTCGTGCACTTAACCTACCTAACATCTGTCCGTTTTCATCTTCGTTTCCATCCGTTCCAGGCATACGAGAAGCTCCATCATTATGGCGACGAACGTTATCATACTGTGCATTGCTTTGGCGCCCGCTTATGTAATCGCGTTTGGCAAGTACTCGGCAAATATAAAAGTGAGTACCTTATTACTGTACGATATATTAGAATATCTATGAACGTATGCAATGTGTCAGTTAAGAAACGCGTAAGACGACCACCGTAGTTAGTTGGGTATAACTAATGGTCGATACTGAATTTGCATGCTAGATAGGGAAGTGAAAAATCATAATCCGTTGTTTCTTTTTCTTATCAACACAAATAATCTATTTATACTAAACAATACGTATATTTAACATATTATTCATTAAACTGCCCACTGTTGTACAAATTATAGTGTATATATTTGAATATTTCAAAATAAGTGTAGATATGGCAGCGAAATGGTGGCAAAAATTGTAGGTACCTGTATAACGATATGGTAAAGAAGGTATACCTACTTACGAGTATTCATTTTTTGTAGTATCAATTTTAGACTCCAAATATAATATAGTCGCAATAACAATAAAATTAAATAATATGATTGCTAAAAACCAGATTTGGATTTAATACATTAAGGCGTCTATAGTAGCACATATTTTAGGGGCCCCTTTGTCTAAAATATGTGAAAGCTTAATTTAAGCCATCGATATATATCTGAAAAAAAAATATTAATAAATGTTGTTCTATGATAAAAATGTTGATTTTAAGAAATAAAAAAATGTGTACAAGTCGAGCTGACCGTAATGTCATGAAGTTGCATGTTGTGTAGATCTATTATATCTAAACAATAGGTATTGACTTCCTTATAAATATTTTGTACTGTGGAATTTACTTAACACTAACAGCTCACAAAATGTATAAGTTTTCGCCCACTTGGTTTTTAATTAATCATTATGATCGGCCAAGAGGAACAATTTGAAATTTGTAGACCTAAAATCTTCATTGCACTTGGGCCTTAAAGTTTGAATTTGGCCCTGCTGAAAATACCTCGGAAAATACTGAGTTATACGTCTTTTTAATGCTTATTAACGTCGGTATTCTGCGAAGCTGCACATACGATACCCGGGACATATGTGCATATGCGAACATATGTTTTACGAGAGATCTAAATCTAAAAAAAACAACACAGCCAAAACCACATGTATCACTTATGGTACCTCTATACATCTCACATGACCGAGGTTACATGAACACACGTGGGATACCTGTGAATCAATAAACTACATTAAAACCTAACACGCATAAATAACCTACTAATTACATAATTAATTAATTACTAATTAATGTAAACGACCTGTAGGACATTGCAGAGATATACATTTTAATTAATGCAATAATTGTCCACCGTCCTGTATTTTGGGTCATTATTGACTAATGAGTAATGACGTATTGACACTTGGACGTTTGGCCCGCAGTAGCGTGGCATCACCACCCGAACAAGAGATTAATAAAGCTCACGATTTAATATCATATTATAATATGTATAGGTACCTACCTAATTTGAATGTAATATTCTATTATTATAAATTTATAACTACCCATGATTGATTTTCAAAATGTCGAGAGAAAATTCTATCCAAAGATCATCTCGCCCATTGACTATAAAAAAATAGTTGAAACATCGATATTAGATATTGTTCACGAAATATAATATTTATAGAGACAGTAAAAATCTGCACAATAGTAATAATCAGGGCTCGGGACTTAAAGCATTTGCTTATTTTTATAGATTGACTTAAAATGTAGCAGAGTGCTATTATATAGAAGTGTATGTCATGTTACAACACATTCAATTATGAAATTTGAGAATGCTTTTTTTTGCTTTTTTCAGTGATTTTTCAAAAAAAATGCTTATTTCAAGTTTTTCTGATAATTATTGATTTTTTGACCAGTTTTTATACTTTTTTATGATTTTTTACTGCAAAGTTGTTTTTGATAGAATTAAAATTAAAAATAATTCTTATCTTATCTACGTTGTCGCGTAGTCCGTTGCCGTCCGCGGTATCGTTGCAAATATTCCAACGCTCAAAATAGAATTGGATTTCGGGGAAACAAATTAATATAATTGAGTTCATGTTTATCAGTCTATCACTAATTTTTAGGTAAATAATATTATTTGACCGTGGTTCTATAGGCGTGATAAATACAAATAATGTTTTGATTTCAAAGTTTAGTAGTCGATTGTCGTTCGAGTTCGTCGTGTTGCTTTCGTTTCCGTATTTATTTCGTCATCGTATGTGTGCGAATACTTCGACATTCAACGTCTTGTTTGTTTTTTTCGTCATCGTTTGTATCCGAGTATTTAAATTAATTTAGAATGGGAAAAAGAAAAATCATCCACTTGTGCTACTCTAAAAAGATACGTTTCTGAATTTGGATCTGACATTTTTTCCACAGACGGGCATGTTTTATACTGTAAAATGTGTGAAATAAAAATTAATTTTGAAAAAGAATATAATATATCCCAACATATGAAAACCGATAAACATCAAAAGAGTGTCAAATGTCAGAAAAAAATTGTATTTTATTGTTTTTTTTTTTTAATAAATATTTTTGCTTAAATTTAAGTTTTTTAAATGCTTATTTGAGTGCTTATAATGATGTTTTTAAGAGCTTATTTTAATGATTTTAAGTGCTTTAAGTCCCTAGCCCTGGTAATAATAATGGTTATCAATTAAAAACAATTAAAAATGTCAGTCATACTTATTAGTAGGTAACTATTAGTAGGTTAATATCTAATACGGTACGCATATGCTTTAGAATAAACCCACTATATAAACCTATAGAGTATAGACTATTATAGTATTATACACACATATACAGTACGAATATATAGGTGTATGGAATATTACATTGTAAAATAAACTTTTTATATTATAAAATATTATTAACAGGCATCAGTTATATTATGTTGTGACTGTGTTGTAATTCATAAGCTAATCACATCACAGTTTAAAATTAAAAATAAAAAATTTTAAATTATACCTTTTTTGTTTTGTAGAAGTACCTAGGGGTAATATTAGTAAATATTTAATTACTCCGACTCCCAACAATGGCTCTCTTTGGAAAACGACCAAAAGATTTATCAATCATCGTGATAATACACCTCCACTCAAACGACCTAACAAATTATTAACTATTTCCGATTTAGAGAAAGCAAATATTTTTGTTAATTACCTATCATCCATATTCTCTCATCATCCTGAGTCCTGACCTAAATTCAAAACAGAACACAATCCACACCAAATCCATAAAATCACTGATAAAATCTCAACCTCCTTCGAGACCAGGCAATACCACCCCGGGGTATATCTAGATATATCCCAGGTATTCAACCATATTAATATGACGGGCTTCCATTTAAACTGAAACAGTTTCTCCCTTCGCCACATTATTTATTAACCAAATCATATCTTAAAAATCTGTCGTTTTCAGTTCGTCAAAAAAATAATTATTCAACTGTTCCGAATATTAAAGCTGGACTTCCCCAGGGTAGTGACCTTTCATCTATACTTTATAATATTTTCACCTCTGAAATACCTACAACAAACAAAACTCTTCTCGCCTTATTTTCTGACGACACAGCAATACTTACTTCTAATAATAATTCTGATATCACGTCTCAAAATCTACAATAACATCTAAATAAATAGAATCTTGGGCCAAAAACTTTAAAATTAAAATCAATCACGTAAAAGGCTCAGGTGAACTTTTAACTAAAAAAAAAATGAAATGCTTCCCACTAAAATTCAAAAACAAGCCAATCTCACTGCACCAGTGAACCAAATACCCAGGTATCACTCTGGATAAAAGATTAACCTGGTCAAACCACACCAAGGAAAATCGAAAACAACTTAACTCCCGCCTTTATCTACTTGGATCTCTACTTAAACCAAACTTAAGTCTCAAAAACAAATAACTGCTATACAAAGCAATCATCAGGCCAGTATGGTCACACATCATCCAAATCTGGGGCCCAGATAAACCGGAAAACATTCTACAAGCTTTCCAGTAAATTACCTTAAGACTATTATCACCGGTGCGCCATGGTACATAACAAATTCAGCCCTCCATAATGACCTAAAAATTCAAACAGTAAACGACTAGCTTGTAAGTTGTAACGGTAGTAACGATAGCTTGCAAAAAGATTTCGATTTAAAATTAACAACCCATATAAGCCCCTCCATTAAATACATGTCTACTCTCAAATTACCACAAATTACACGTCGATTAAAAAGAAACTAGTCTATAGAGACCAGCTGGACCGCCTAAAATAGGAAAATAAAATAAAAACAATTCTGAGGTTCTGTTAATGAATGGTCTCCTCTTCACGTGATTCATGTTTGTATATACTTTTCTATTTTATCCTTATTACTTATTGTTTTTATTGTAAACCGATTGAATATATTTAAATAATAAAAAAAGGAGTAGCAGGAGAGCATTAATTGTCATGGTTTATAGAACGCACTTCGTATCCCAACATTTCATAGTAGGTAGCCAGGTATGTTTAGGCACCTACTTAATCTGAAAGTAAAAAAAAAATTGGAACTTATACATAACTTATTGTAAAGAAATACAAATTAAGCTTATAAATAAATTATTGAAAAGATTTTTTTTTTTTTAAATGTGTTATGTAAATAATAAATATAGTAAGTAGGTACTTAAATATTATAGAGTTACCTATAATATTATCAAAAATGCTTACATAATATCATACATGACGTAGATTGTATATTATGACATCACTATGGTATTTTAATATCTGAAGTATTTTAGAATATTTATATTGTAATAATATAGCATATATGTATATATTGTTGATGAAAAATTAAATTAAAAGTGTGTACGACATATAAGTGTGTCGTGTACCATCGTGTAGTGCAGTGTAGGTACTATATAGTATATACCATTATTCAGGTAGGTACACACTATACATACAACATTGCACAATAAAAACGCTGCTTATAGTTAATTTATTGAAATCAATTGAAAAACAGTGAACCTTAAAATATAACAAGTATACCTACCTATATAAATAGAATTTATGTAATCCCAAATGTATTATGCTACCTGTCTACCTTACATAATACATAACAGTGTTTTATTTACAGTATAATTTTGTGAAAAAACAAACATTAAAAATAATCCATTATTTACTTGTCAACCTTTTGTTAAAATAAAGTCTGTTTTTCAGACAATGAAATATCTTACTGACATTTTGTGGTGTAATAAGAGCAGCCAACCATATATCATCATGACTTTATTTGAGTAATTACATTTTTTAATGGATTTTTTTCCAACTGAGATTTTTTATATAAAATAACTTCAGAGTTGGATATAAAACCTAAACACCGCGATAACTTTCTTTAATTGTAAAATTCTGAAAATATTTATTAATTTATTATTTAATATATTATATATAAATATTGATTGGTATTTGGTAATTATTAACCAACGGCCAACGCATAGCCATTTTATGATCATTATATGTTATATTCTATTTTTTTTTATCATGTAATAATTTTGCTAGAACCGATTAATTCATTCATTTTGTTTATTTAAAGTAATTTATTTCAAATCAAAACACTTGAAAACAGTTTGACTGCTGATGTTTGGTACTGGTTATATTTATGGACTATGGTGAAATGTTTTTAAATACAAATGGTAAACATCCAAAAACCATTAAACCAATAGATACAATATAAATTATAATTTACGCATTTCACACCTAATAAATTACTCAAACAGACAATTAACAAATTTCCGATTTATCGCATGATGACGATACTAGAATGTTACACGATTCACGAGCAAGAGTGTTATAAATGTTATAATTGAATAATAATCATCATTATAATTTAACTTTACTTACAAGTTACTATAGTTACAATTAAGCGACATGTATTTTTTTTCTATTTTTGAGAACAGTCCCCAGATTTACCACTTGTAATGTTTACATCAGTCTTCATTGTAAGACGGTGGAGGAAATCTTTCGAAATTCCCAGCAGTAGGTAGGTAGTACCTACCTAATAGTAAACGTTCACTTTCATATTTCAATATACAGACATCAACATCAACGTGTCATGTGAATTGTGATATACCTTCAAAAGTTCAAAATCCATCATAATATATTTTTAGTTATAAAATAGGTACTAAATAATACTTATTACTTATTACCTAGTGGTATAATTTATTTTAAATCAAATTTGATTAATATTTTATACAAAGTCAAGTACCTATAGCTAATAATTAAAATATATTATCAAAAGATTATGTGTCAAGCTTTTGTTGTGATGATGCCATGATGGCAGTAATGAGTAATTTATTAAAACATACCTACATATATTATACATTATATAAATTCATATGCGCAATTTGGAGACTGGCTAGCAGGGACTTAACCCCTCTAATATATAAATTTACCCCTAAAAAAAGGTAGATTCTAGTTGAAGTGTAAATTGAATCCTCCATTATATATACCTACCAACTAAACGCGGTTTGATGAAATTATTGTATGTAGTTATAAAAATGTAAAACATGTATATTGTAATTTTATTGAATTTAGTTTTTGATATTTGGTTAAAAATAAGACATTGAAGAAATTTCGGGGGAGGGGGTCCAGACCCCCTGGACTTCCACTCAGATACGGCCTTGATTACTCATATTATATTACCTATATAAAGAGTGATATAGGTAGGATCTGTAACAATTATAATATTATGTTATTAAATCGTCTCGTTTCCACGATAATCCTGCAGGACTCTGAGTACGTTCGGAGCAAACTGCTGGAGAACGTTATCAGCCAACTGGAAAAGGACATCGTCAAGTCAGAGATGGACGGTGGCAAGTACGACGCGGCGGCGCGGTACGGGCCACAGATGAAGACCACCGAACGTGAACCCACAGGAGCCGACTACGATGACGCGGCCTCGAACGGCCCGAACGCTGTGCCGTCGATCCGGGACAACGAGTACGTGCAGCATGGCACGCTGTGGGGTGCGCAGTACATGAGCGGTACGTTTAACGTTCGTTTTCTCTCTATATACGGTCCATTATAGCTGGCGCCTGGAGATACAGAAACATAGGATTTTAGTAGGGCGATTCACAGTATTATCTTTATAATATATGTACATATATATAATTCGCCGTGTGTATCTAATGGCTATTTGAGCGGCTTGACCAATTTTGATGAAATCGTTGGTGTGGAGTTAAGTGGGTCCCTGGATGGTTTAGATTCACAATATTGAACCAGGAGGGTGCTCGAACAGGATTTTGAGATTTACGATGGATATTTTTGTTTATAAATGGTTGCTATTGGTTGCAGGAGAAATAATTAGTAGAAATTAGAGATGGTTGCCATCAGTGGCGGATCCAGGGCATGGGGAGAATAAAAGAACAAAAAGTACAAAAATTGGCTTCAAAATTGGCTAAATACAGTGGTCAGTGTAACAGTGAAACTACGACGATTGGGGGAGGAGGGGAAAATGTCCCCTTTGCCCCCCCCCTGGTTACCATTACCCATTAGTTACTCGTGCAGACAAGGTATACAAATCGTAACGTTTATGGTTTCGATTAAGGAAATTATGCCTTAATAAATTGGGGAGACTTGGTAGAAATTTAGAGGGATAAAGTCCCCAACCTCCCCCTATTTGCACTAGGTAATGTATAGTTATCTATTAATTGCTGACTAGTTGTACTGGTTTAGGTAATAACACGTTAGTACCTAACTCATTAAATATCAACTCCTTTAGAAGACGAATTAAATCTGCTACTGGTAGGTACCTACAGCATGACCAAATAAAAATAATTAAATAATTATAACAGGTATAGATGTGTTTAAAGTTTATTTTAACTAAACATTTTATTATTTTAATCAACTGTTAAATATGGCTAAGTTATTACTAAATTACTTGAATTATTTAAGTTATTAAGTTGATTATAAAATTAACTAGGCAACTATAGTTAAGTTAAAAAGTTTAAAAACCAAATAACTTTTTACCTTAGTACTTAATTCCCACATTTGTCTATAGACTATAACAATATTATAATACATTGTCTTTATTCCTGGCTGCATGTTGCAGGCGGTGCCGGCGAAGGGGTGAAAACCCTGAACCCAGACAGTTCGACGAGAAACAAAAATGAAGTGAAAACCGTCGCTGCGCTGCCGGCCTACTGCAATCCGCCCAACCCATGTCCGGTGGGATACACGGGTAAGTGAACTTCTTGTCTTCTTCGTAAATCGTAATACACCTATTGGCTCTTATATACTAAACTAGATAACAAAAATCAGTTTAAGGTTAAGTAAAACTCGGGGACAATAGCAACAAAAATGTTAATAACAAATAACCAAATAGTTAAAACTGAAATTGTAGCTACGTACTATATACATACTAATTTTAAATAAATAAGAATAAAAACTATCACTATGGCCTACAATTTTTCTTAATAAATTAAAAAAACTAATATGTTTGAAACAAAAACAATGTAGGAATCAGAATAATTAGAGTAGGTTCTATGATATATGTATATATAATATATATAATGTAATGTCGAGACATATTAGCAGGCATATTTTTAAGGTATTGCGTTAATTTTTAATTAATAGGTAATAATTATTTATTTATTTATTTAAAACTTACACGAGTTGAACCCTTGAATTCAAGAGTACAATTTAAGTGTTAAGTCACAATAAATTCCGGTAGTTGCAATTAAATTAGTAGCCAAAAATAAAAAAAAAGTTATTTAACAAAACCCTAAAACAGATATAATCTTATAATATTTATTATTATGTAAAGAAGATTGTGCTGTATTCAGTTGTATAGGTATCTATTGTGTCATTACTTTTACAGCGGTTTATATTTATTCTTTACTAACAGACATCTTGCACTCTATTGCCAGCTAAAAATGCCAACTCTATATGATTCAAACTTTGTTCAATCTGTTATTTTATATTCGGTGCTATGATATTTAAAACTTAAAATTTTTATTGGCCATCTTCAACATCAAAACACTTATGCAAGCACCACTTTTAAATGTGAATTTTGGAATATTAAAATACTATAATTTTGCATACTTTAAATGTTTTCTGGAAACAGCCTGGAATACATTATGATACATGAAAGTGTAAAAAAAAAGTTGTTTCAATTCCATTGCTATTAGAAAATAATTTTTTTAAATTGAACCTAAGGTTACGATGCCTCATGAATCAGTTAAAATGAAGACCAGCAAGGGTACAGTACAGAACAGTCACAGTAGCACAATGTTCCATACATAATAAGCATTACATAATATTACACAAAACCTTTTTAATATGGCCACCACTATCTAGGCAGGACATATTATAAAAGAGCTATCAAAAGATCTCGATACAAAAATTAATGTATCAGTGCATTAGTATAAACTTAAATTAATCATCCCTTGTATTAACAAATATTAAATGTCAAAAAAGTTAAAAATAGAACTTAAGAAAATAAAAGTATCAAAGAAACGGTACTCTTACAATTTCAGATGAAGATGGTTGTATAATGGATTTTGAAAATACGGCGGCATTCAGTCGAGACTATCAGGAATCCCAAGAATGCATGTGTGATTCTGAACATATGTTTAACTGCGCAAGATCGAATATTGGCACCAAACACAGTGTTGACGTGGACGAACTTGTAAGAACATTTCAGGTATTTTGAATATTTATTCAATATTTTATTGTGCTCAAGATGTGACTATGTATTTTATCTTTACAGGTAGATGATGAACATAAGAGTTTGGTTGCGAAAAAATTCCACGTTAAGAAGGTTAGTATTTTTTTCCTTTAGTTTTCTAGTTAATTTTCTAGGTACATCAATAATGCTAATTGTGCATAAGCACAACAGTAAGAACATTTAATAACTAATAATTAACACAATATAATATAATTTTTGCTTTTACAGGCTTTTAATCCATACTTACAAGGAGAATTTCTGCCCATAGCAGCAAAAAAGGGAATTAACATCGGATTGTAACATCTTAATCCAAAACGACCAATTATTTATTCATTCTATATTAGACAACTCCAACAAAAATGTTAAAAGAAAAAAAACATATATGTTTATTTCAACCAGTTTGTTTATAAGTAAAAAAAATGTTACCTGATAGATAGTATTTAATTATAATGTCATCCTTAATTACATGTTAAAGATATGACCAAGAGATACAATTATACAATTAATTAATAAATTATAGACTAAACTAATCATTTTTAAAGACTAGACAAGTATTTTTTTATTTTGTTTAAAATATCTCTAGAATTGTAATGATTAGGATACATCGAGAGCGACTTCTTTACCATACCATAACTTGCTTGGTGATCACCTTCCTGGAAAAAGAAAATATTATCAATTAACTATTTAGTAATATACTGTATTGTTATAAATTATTTAATATTTACAAAATACCTTATTTAATTAAAATATTTCTTTAATATAATACAAGAGATATATTATATTCATACTATTTGATGTTGTGTTGTGTATATAAGAATTTTTATCAAAGAAAATTTCAACAATCCAATCCATTTTAGATATAATGTTTCATTTATATTCTAAGATTGATTATTCATCTTTTTAAATATCAGTTAAAAATAATTAAGTTAAAGTAATATTATACAAATAAGTTGTGAGTATTGTATTATAAAATTCAAAATTGTTTTTAATTATTCTACTAGAATATAATTAAAAAAAAAAAAATGTATACTGTTAACAATTTTATTCAATGACTTATCTGAGATTTTTAAATTTAACTTAACACAATTTATTTAAGTAGTTTAAAAGCAAAGTCTTTAGACTAGTGTCCAATCCGACGGGACTGCGTGATTGCGATGTCTAACTTTTGATCCAGCGGTCGGATCGATTTCAAAATTTAACCCAATGTATATATATATATATTATATAGATCAAGCTCTTGGACCATGAGTTGGACCTATTCTACCGGCGGACGACGAAGCAGCAGCCTGAAGAGCTGTTCCGGAGGAAGACGAATGAGGCGTCGACGCTGCCGGAATACGGTGACGTGATCAAGTGCCTCGAAACCATAAAGTCCGGCATCGAAGAGAACCTCCGGGGTCTGGTGGCTATCTTCAGGGACTCAGTGGGTCCAGTGGTGAAGACCAGTAGCGAGAAGTCGAGCGGCGCACGTAAGGTAAATTAACTATATTACAACGACAAAAATTGAAATATATATTTTCTTCATAGTTATTAAAAATACCTTTAAATCGTTATCTACAAACTAGTCCATAATGTACCATAATAACTTATTTTGTTATCGCGATTTAATAGTCTGTGCGTGTACTTCAAGTCTGGTTTCTGACGCACGACTAGTACGGGTTAGTTACTACGTGCGTTGTTGTCATAATATTACACTCGATTTGTTAATTTTAAAATTTAAAATCACAAATTTTTCAATATGGACAATGAAGCTTCAGGTATGTATTTTAATATGCAATAATTATTGTTAACATAATATAATATGAACATTTTTTATATAATATTATTTTAAGAAATATTATTTTTGTTGAACAAATATATTAAAATATCAACTTAAACTAGAGTTATAAAAAAAGTTCTATCGAGTTCCACTGTTTTTTTGACATATTCAAAACAATATCTCGTGACAAGTATAAAAATGTAAAATATAGGTCCACTTGTTTCCCCTTTTTTGAAATTGAGCGCATTCTTTTTAGGTAGTCGTAGCAATTCCGCTGATAAGGTAATTAAAATAAAAAGAAGAGAACTATTTATACTATTACAAAATGAACAGTTTTTTTTAATTTTTCATCGTATAAGTGTAATGAACATTTATTGCACTATATAATAGAGAAGTTTGGTGATACTGAACTTTCTGAACATTGTACTAAGCAAATAAAATGTGTAGTTAAAGTATTTGTCACGATGATTTTTAAAAAATGGCGTGCTTGTAATTATATGTATGATCGTTTTAATACCAAGCATATGATATGGATTGATGATGACTTGAAACTCCCTGAGGTACAGCTATCACAGCTTTCGTTATCAGCGCCCAAACGTCCAGAGAAAAAAAGCCGAGGCAGACCAAAAAAATTGTTTGAAGAGAGTTCTCAACGCAGTAAACAAAGGCAAATAAATTCAATTTTATCGGAACATAGTTCAGAACTAGTGTGTTTAGCTGCATTATCAAGTTTGGTGAAATCAGGGAGGAGAACTGCAGCCCAAGTTTTAAAATTAGCCATCGATACTACATCCACTAGACTAAAAAAAATGAAATTGGTGCATGATAAATCATTTTCTATTACTATAAGACCATACAGCCCTGAAGAAGCCTTAGGTCTTATGGTTGATCTTGGATTATCAAAAGAAGATTATATTACGATGCGACTCGGAGCAAAAGAAATAGGTGCGGACATTTATCCCTCATATCATGTGATACAAGAAGCAAAGAGGAAATATTTTCCTATTAATATTAAGATATCTGAAAACGAAGCTGTGGTATCACTGAAAGATCTTTTTATACATACTACACAACGTCTGGTACAAGTGTAGGCCAATGTAATTCTCCAGAACATTTCTGATGACTGTGATACTATTGAAGTTTACTATAAATGGGGAATAGATGGCAGCGGTGGACATAGTATTTATAAACAAAATTTTGCAAATAACTCAGAATATGCGGATTCAAACATAATTTTATTAGTGGTCTCGTTTTTGTACGTGAATATGAATGTACGTGTTCACGTATACCGTGATCACGTGAATGAAACAAATTAAATCACGTATGGTTAATACACGTGAATCAACGAAAGCTTAATCACGTGAACACGTATCTGAATCATATTCACGTGAACACGCGAATTAGTTTATTCACGTGAAGAGGCGAACAAATGTATTTATAATTTTATTGATTGGCTTCATGATCTTGTATTGAACTCTGTAGTGCCCGTTGCGTGTGTCTTATCTTATCTGGTCGTTGAATAGGTAGTGGTGTTTCAGGAAATTTTTTTGTGCACGATGTCCGGTTGCAAAAATAGAATTCACACATACACTGATAGCATATTTCTTATTGGACGTTAAAATTATATACATAACTACGACTTTATTGTCGTTGATAAAAAGATACTAAGGTAGTATACAAGTATACGACGCGTTTAGTTTGCATTCAACCGTTAAGTGATCGCATTCATTAAAAACCAAGTTTTCTTGACAAAATGGCGAAAAGAAAAAGTTGGGTATGGGATTATGCTAAACGTGAAGGTGATCGCGCCTTTTGCGATTTATGTGACGATAAAAGCAATAATGAATATTCTTGTGTAGGCGGCACTACTGGGTCTTTAATAAGGCATTTACAAAATTTCCATGGTATTAAACCTTCAGAAGATTCTATAAGAAAGAGGTAATTAATAAATTATATTTTTAATTATTTATTAATTAAAAAGTTAGGTAGAAAGTTAAAAATGTTTACGAAATATGTTAAAATCGCGAAAATTTGTATTTATTTTGTAGCTCAAAATTCATAAATTTGTTTGTATTCATACCTAAGAATTTAAAATTTAATTTAGGTTATCCATAAGTTGTGCTCACAATTATTATGAAAAAATCGAGTGTAAGTCAATAAAAAAAAATTACGAGCGTCTACTAAATTTTAAACGTTTATGATACTAAAAATTTAAAAATTCATGATTTTCTATCTAAAGGTTTTAGTTATAACTTATAACTTATAAGATAAATAAATAAAATATCCGAGACTGACAAATCGTCTCTGTTCAGAATCGTTTTTCGTATCATTGCATTCAAATTTAACACATCCATTATAGTGACCTACTCTATGACCGAGGTCGACTCACCCATAAAAAAAAAATTTTAACTCTTAAAAAAAATTATTATTTTATTGTTTGACTAGGATGCAAGTAATTTATTAATAAATATATAATATTCAATAAATACATATTGTAGGTCTCAATTGGGGTCTAATCATCCATATAATGATACCCAAGAAGTTATAAGGTCTGGTAGTTCTGAACATGAAAATAATACAACTTCCATCAATCAAGATGATGACACAAATCTAGTTAATAATGCTAATACATCTTCCTCAAGATTAGAAAATAATGAGGAATCAAAATCTAGAAAGCGTCGTCGTATTTCTAAAAAATGTGGGTCTAATAGTGATCGTGAATGTAATTATGAAAAAACAGAACAAATTCATCAAGCACTGGCTATATTAATTGCAATGAATCAGTTACCTTTATCATTTTGCTCGAGCCCTGGATTTTGTCAGTTCATGGCTGTTGTGGAGCCGAATTATAAAATATGTAGAGATCAAGCAATGAAAAAAAGACTACATGCATTGAAGTCAAACGTTGAGGACAAAATAAAAAATGAATTGCAAAATGTGAAAAATGTAGTTTGCACCACTGACGGTTGGTCTTCAATAGCTCAAAACTCATATATATCGTTAACTGCTCACATAATCGATAACCAATGGTCACCAAAGTCATTTACTTTAGCCACACAAGAAATGACAGAACGTCACACAGCAGTAAATCTAGCCGAAAATTTAACTTGTATTTTTGAAAATTGGGAAATTAATGGTAAAGTCAGTACCTACTGTAATTACAGATAACGCAAAAAACATAGTAAATGCTGTAAAATTACTAAATATTACAATAGACAATGAAAATATGGATGTGACATGTGCAGCTCACAGTTTACAATTAGCCATTAATGTTGCAATAAAACAAGAAATATTTTCAGATATAATAAAACAGTGTAGTGCTGTAGTTGGACATTTCAAACACTCGAATGTAGCCAAACAGTCATTATTCAACAAACAAGAACAGCTAGGACTTCTGCATCAATCATTAGTGCAATGCTGTAAGACACGATGGAACTCAGTATATTTAATGTTAGACCGCCTTTTAAAAAACAGAAGTCCAGTTTCAAATGTATTGGCAGATAGAACAGTCACGTCTTTTTACATTGCGCAAAAATTAGAAATAACTGAATCCCAATGGATAAAAATAGAAAATCTCATAAGTCTCCTCAAGCCGTTATATGTTGTAACAAATCTATTTTGTTCGGAGAACCATTCGCCAGCGTCAATGGTTATACCATTATTATCAAAATTATTGGATTGCCATTTTAAGCATAAAGCAGCCGATGATCAATATATCACTGATTTCAAAAATACAATTATATTTGAAATTAAAGAACGATTCAAATTTGAACGTAATGAAACAAGTTCTGTCTCTGTCAGACAAATTGCATCCTTTCTAGATCCTCGATATAAAGATTTAGAGTTTGAACCCAATTTTATGAGAGACAAAATTCGTATGGCTGTAGAAGATTTGCTAGAAAGATTTGACGAACAAGAAATTAATTTAGAACAAATCCCACCAGTTCAAAGTGATCTTGAGTATTTATACGGAAATACAATAACAGCTGATGATAATTTAACTAATCAACTTCAAATTTACATTGCTGAACCTCCATTACGTTTCGATCAAAATCCATATGAATGGTGGAAATTGAGAGAAAATAAATATTCAACTCTTGCAGTATTAGCAAAACAATATCTCGCTATTCCTGCTACATCAGTGAGCTCCGAGAGATGTTTCTCCACTGCTGGAAATATAGTGACATCTAAAAGAAGCTGTTTATTGACAAAAAATGTTAATATGCTGACATTTTTGTTCCAAAATAAAAAATTATTAGTTTAATATTATTAAGTTATTTAGGTATTGGTTTATTTTGTTTATTACTTTTTTTTGTTTATTTATAATAATTTATTATTATCTTATTATTTATATATATTATTGTCAATTCATATCAAATTGTCTTAAGTTAGTCTATAGGTTAGGTTTTTCTAACGTAAAACATTAATTATTATTATTTGATGAGCATACTTAATCTAGTTAATATTTATACTTTATGTTATTGATGATTAAAATAATTTAATCTATATTTATGTTATAAGATCATCTTTGATTTACGAATAAAAGTGGAGAACTCAGTAAAATACGTGAATACACAAATTCACGTGAACATATTAATTCACGGATTCACGTGAATATAATATTTCACGGGTTCACGTGAATAATATTATAAATTCACGGACAATTTTAAGCAACGGGTTTCATAAATCGAACCTTTATTTCACGTGAACACGTGAAAGCGTGTACACGTGAAATAACGAGCACTAAATTTTATGTACAATTGTTCCACTACAAATGTGCGAATCAAATGCAAACAACAAAAAAATATTTTGGAAAAATAGAGCATCGTCATCGACAAGGTATATATAATTGGATTCAAAATTAAAAAAGAAAATGTTCAAAATATGAAAGAAGTGTATAATGAAGTACAATCACAAATATCACTATTAGAACCCACAATAATTATCCTAGGCGCAAAAGAAATACAATTTAAACATGTTCCTATTTGTACAATGCTGGATGGAAAGATTGTCAACATTTTGACCGAGACTTCAAGTTCCCAAGCATGTAATGTTTTTAATGCTACTCCCAAAGACTAAAACGATCTAGAAAAATTAAAGAACAGAGTCTGTAATTGTTGCAAAAATACACCATAGTGAGTCGGCCCAGTCATGTGTATAACAACTATATATGTGGTGGGGTTGTTATCCGCCTAGCACAAAGGTCAACGCCGGGCTGTACGACGAGCAATTATAATACACGACAACGACAGTAAATAGACGATGCCCGAAATTGTTGTGTATGCTACTAAGTCGTGGTCGCTACGTAGCAATTTCGCCATCTAACGGCCGTGCATATTCCGCCCTTTTGTGTGGTTTTCACTATACCGTGCACATAGGCGTCACTAAGGGGTATCGAGGGGTATTTTTGCTACCCCAGACATTTTTTGGGGGTAGCAAGAGTATCATTTCGATACCCCCAAAAAAGTCTTCGATTTTAAAAATATATTCGATGTTAATTATTTAAATGTGTACGAACCACGATTTAAGATAGTACTATCTTGACCGTGGTACAAACATAGACTATCTATTATTGTGATTGTGTTTTGTGACTAAAATGCAAAATAATTATGTTTTGTGATAAGTTCAATAAGGATGATTAGACAGTGTATTTCACGGTTTAAGATATACGGTATACGGTATATCTTAAACCATGGTGTATTTACACATACGTCATACCAAGATGGTATGATCTATAAAGAAGAGGTTAGACATTTAGACAGTAAACGTTTTCAATTGATGGTGGTTCAATTCATCCAGAATTTAAAGATGTCAAGGATTTTTATAGAATAGAAATTTATTATTTAATTCTTGACACAATCACATAGGCAATAAATGACAAATTTAATGAAAATGATTTAAAGATTTTAAACTCAATAAACAACATTTTAGTTGAAAGAACCCTGATGTATCTGATATTCAGGAAGTTAGTTCAGTATATGGATTTGATGTAAATGAATTGAAGTCTGAAATAATTATTTTCAATAGAATGTTTACCAGTTTGAAAAAAGAAGATAACTTTGAAAATAAATTAGCATATATAAAAAAAGTTGAAGTTGGGAGTGGTTTCCCTATATTAGTAGATGTTTTTAAATTATTTTTGACTATACCAATGAACAGTGCATCATGTGAAAGAAGCTTTTCGAGCCTATAAGAAGACTAAAAAATTACTTAAGAACAACCATGGGCCAAACAAGACTAAGTGACTTAGGTTTATTGTATATACACAAAGATAAAGAGGTAAATAAAAATGCAGTTATCAACGAATTTTGTGCTGACAACAAACGCCGACTTAATTTAAAATAATAAATATTTTAGGACTCATACATTTAATAATTAATATAGGTATCATTGTTTCTTAATCTATATTTGTTTTTAATAAATATATTGATAAGTTCAGATAAAATGTTAACTATACATGTGCATTTTTATTATACAAAATAATGATTAAACCTATACAAATTATTTTTTACTTTCTAAAACTAAACTTTGCTACCCCAGAATTTGTACTCTAGTGACGCCCATGACCGTGCATATTCCGCCTTGTTGTGTGGTTTTCCGCTGTTTCTCATAATTACGTCGGTTAGTGCGCGCGGTTTCGCCGTCCTAAATCCGACCGTTAAGTCTGTGTGTTTTCGTCGTCTTAAATATCGTACCTTCAACATCGTCATCATTGTCCTCATGAAGCGGGTCATTCCATTGTCACCAACTCAAGTCTCCAGGTCCCGGTCATATCATATTATGTGCATCATCACGGTGTCGTGAGTTTTTGTATATGTTTATTTTTTTGTATAATTATTTAAATTCATGTAAAATATTAAGCTCGTGATAGCAACATATTGGTTGATTATTTTTACCTGCCTAATCCCCTTATTCAATACGGCACCCGCACAGAGTGTCCAATCTCCCGATTATTACTAAAGGGACTGGTACGTGTTACAGTAATAAAGATACCTTCAAATATGGTATTTCTATACTACATGCACATCTTAGATGTTATGAATATTTACTTCATATAGCATATAAATTAGAATTACAACAGTGGCAAGCAAGAGGGGGATATGCAAAAGTAAAGGAAAGAAAAAATAACATAGCACCTAACTTTTACAAAGAAATGGGTCTCGTTGTTGATTAGCCAAAACAAGGTGGAGGTAATAGTAATGATGGTAACACGGCCCGAAAATTGTTTAAAAACCCTTCACTTGTTTCTCAAATAACTGGAATTGATAAAAAATTGGCTGGTACCGAATTGGTTCCCGAGCTCCAACCCCACATGCCGAATTGGTTCCCGTTTGGAAAAGGTGTTTTTTTGGGGTGTACCGAATTGGTTCCCGTTTGAAAAAGGTATTTTGTTGGGTTGGGCCGAATTGGTTCCCGTTTAATTACGCACATTTTCCTTCTCAATTTTACAGGCTTAGGACTGTCAACTTAAAAGTAGGCTTGGTTAAAAATGTGCGTCAATGTGTGTTATAAAAAAAATGATATAATATATACAATTTTCAATCGTTGATTCGGAAGTCAATTATCACTAGGTGTAGGTAAAAAATACAAATAATAAAATATAATAAATACAAATGTTTAAAAACGCTGATTTGCAAATTTGAAGCAAACTTTCTTTAAATATTCAATTCGCGTAAGCTTCCCATTGGTGTACTCAGTCATACAATTTTCCAAGAATTTGTTATTTTTTTCTTGTTTGCTAGTAAGTTTTCTAGTATTATTACTTCGAAATTTAATATAATTTAATGTCTGAATACTGTTTAAAGTCTCCATAAAATAAAATATATTAGGATGGGCACTTGTAAATTCTTTATTCAGCTTTGAATGGAACGATTCGCAACAATTTGTAGTTCTATCAATATTTTTGTCAAATCTAGCCCAAATTTTCGGTGGAAAGATACTATCTGTCATTATGTATGTATCATGAACGTAGTCAAAGAACTGATCCAATTTTGGGCAGCAAGGTTTTATGGCCATCAAATCATTATAAAAACAGTCTTCGGGTGATAATAAGGGCAGTCCAAAAAAGAGTTTCAGAAGTTGTCCGATTTCTGAAGCATTATCTTTAAATTCATTAGAGAGACCAAACTGTTGAATTTTTCTCCACCATGACTGACATAAATGGAATCTGCAACCTCTAACTGTAACTTGATGTAGCTGTGAAGTTATAGCATTATGGATAGCTGTTTCAAAATCAACGAAAACCGTGCCAGCTGTTAGATATTTTGCAACCTTATTGAATGCAAGTATGTAGGTAAGTGTCAGTAGTCTTGTTCGGGAGTAGGCTGAATACGACAGGAACATAGCTATTCTGTACTTTAATAAAAATAGAAAATAATTGGTAAAATTGCTTAGGACAACTTTTGAATGTTCCATCGACAAATAACGTAGTGGCTTTCTTGAGTTGTTCCAAGTTCTGCGTGCATGTAAATGTAATTATATTGTTGACAGAATCGTTGTCATAAATAAATTTTTCTCCGAGATTAGTTATTAACGAATATTCACTGACACTTTTATGCAGTTCTTCAAGATTAGAAGGTAACTTGGGAATTGTTCTTAATTTAGCAGCATTCAAATTTTTACGGACTCTGTTAATATCATTTTGAAGTAGTGACTCACTATGACTGTTTGAAGCTATCTCTTTGCGTATAATTTTAGATGGTCGCTCTGTAATAAGTTCGTCACATTTTCTTTTTAGTGAATTTGTCAATTGTTGTCGCGCAAGTGTACCACCGTCTTCACTTTCGTGGTTATGTGTTAATACCTCTTCACATAAACAATCTCCGTTCAATTTAACGTATGCTTTACATTTTCGTTTTGTACATATCCACCTCTGTATGTTATCTGCTAGGTTCTTTTGGAATCCAAACTTGTAATTGTCAATAATCAACAACTAAGTTCCCTTTTCACTAAACATAAACTCCATAATTACGAAAAATTAAAATTAAAAAATATAAATTCAAATACGAAATATAAATTAAAAATTTACACGATGTGTTATTCGAGGCTGTACAGTGCTCACTGCTCACCAACATTATTGTCATTCGTACATAGTACATACGATATAGACGATGTACCATACACCGATAAAAGTACATATATCTCAATCGTTATCTTAATTTATTGATCGGGAAATCACCGATAATTTGCTAAACTTCCAATATATAAATATATAGCCATCTTATTGTATATTATACTATATATTATAGAGTATAGCCATGTAGGTACATTTATATTTTATATTGTCTAATTTATATTTTGTACCAATTATTAAAAATTAAAAATTACCTGTACACAAACGGGAACCAATTCGGCTCAACCTAATAAAATACCTTTTTTGAACGGGAACCAATTCGGCTCAACTTAATGAAATACCTTTTTCAGACGGGAACCAATTCGGCCAAACGGGAACCAATTCGGTTACTCCCAAAAAATTAATAAAAAGATTTTCAAATATACTTTGCGTTATTTCTTGTGGGCACTATATCAAAGAAGAAATGTTTAAAAATTATTGCTTTGAAACAGCACAAATGGCTATTTCACTTTATGGTTGGTATAATATGAGTGCCACTGTTCACAAACTATTAGTTCACGGAGCTGACATTATAAAATCCTTACCGTTACCAGTAGGGCAACTGTCAGAAGATGTAATTGAAAGTGCCCATAAAGAATACAAAACATTAAGACAATATCACTCGAGAAAAACTTCTAGAATCAATACAAATACTGACATATTTAACAGGATGCTGATATCCACGGACCCTGTTGTAACAAACACTCGAAAAAAAACCAAAACAGAACCAAACAAAATTTAATGAAGTTGTATTAGGTATGCTCAGATTGCCTTCATTTTGTGCTGGTGATGATGATGACTGCGATGATGATGATTACGATGGTGATGATAATGAGAAGGTCAATAATGATGATGAGAACATGGATGTAGAATAAAGTCTGATTGTAAAATATAATTTGTATTTGTATTACTTATGGATATCATTAATTTAAAATACAGAAATTATTAAATGTAAATTATTTTTATTTATAATACTAATAACATTTGTACCCAACTGCAACGAACATTATTTTTTTAAAAGATAATTATGAAAAAGTATTTTTATAAGCATTTCAAATCAGAATTTCAAAAAAAAAATGGTTTTATATTTTTGGCACCGTAAAATAGTTAAATGGCCTTATGTGCGGCGCCCGGGAAAAGAAGGTTGGTGTGCTCGAGCTTTAAGCTTGATTGATATCGTGTGCTAACTATTTCGTTTTCCAGACGTCCCGAATGTGGAGGCAGCTGACAGCTGGTCTTGCCATTCAGATACTCTGGACTTCGAAGCAGAGGAGTGGGGTCGAGGTCAACTTGAGCCTCCGGGAGTGGGAACACCGCCACCATAATTTGGCCAGCACGGTGGTGACCGTGTCCAAACACAAAACGGGTGACACGGAGCCGGCCACCATCGTGCTGGACGAGCAGATGGACGGCTGGATGGAACGGTAATTATTTAAAACGACATTTCCGCCTAAAACATGACTTATTTAAACTTATTTTATACTGTTTGCAGCTACTACTTGCTACGGAAGAGGATTTGGTGCGACCGGCCCAATTTCTTCGTGATCAACCGGGGCAAGATCATTAATCAAATATACGACGACGTCTACAAAACGTTCCGGGAAAGGATGACGGCGTCCATCTTCAGGCGGATGGTGGAAACGTCCGGCCGCGATCACGGTGCTGCAATTTCTCTCGTCGAACACTATCGGAATACGCAAAAAACCAATAAAATTAAAAAAAAAAATTCGTGATTTCGCGAATTTCCGGGTAATCGTGTCCGACGGACGCGGGCAGTAGTGAAAATGTCAAGCCCGAAGACGGCGACTCGATAGGATTGATATTTCGTTTCAAGCCCGAAATTCGCTTGAAAAAGTCCCATCCCAAAGGACTTTCAGTCCAAACGATCTCTCTGAAAGAACCGACCGTTGACAATTCTGTCGGCTGAAACAGAAGTTGTCAATACCGGTCCTCCCTAGATCAGACCCATTCGATAGGACTGTCAAGCCAGAAATTCAATCGTCGAAGATTTTTCCTAAGTTATAGTCCCATCCGATTGGACTATTTCGTAGCGAAAAAAGGAAATGGACGGTACGACACTACGATTCAGACAGATGAAACTTTCAACTATTTCGAACACCTATATCTTTGTAAATATTGCTATTAGCGCTTCGGCACAAGACGTCGATTTCGATTTATTTTAGAAAATATACATTGGGTTAAATTTTGAAATCGATCCGACCGCTGGATCAAAAGTTAGACATCGCCATCGCGCAGTTCCGTCGGACGGGACACTTATAGAGAAGTGATGGATTAAACGGGAAGAATTCGTTTGATCTCCTCCGGGTCTTAGTGCTTGAATTTATCTCGTCGAACACTATCGGAATACGGGAAAAAACCAATAAAATTCAAAAAAAAAATTCATGATTTCCCCGAGAAAAAAAAATATTACTGCAGGTGAAGGTGTCCCGTGGACGGTCGACGCGGGTGGACGGCGAGCACGGCCAGCGGACTCGGAGCGTCGGGAGAGAAAATTTCACTGTCCCTGGTTAGGAGCGTCCACTTTGCAGTGGAGTCGAACGGACGTGTCTTGCTACAGTTAATTTCGCTCCGAGAGCGCCCTCTTGCGGATTTTCACTGCAGGTGTCTTAACTCCCTAAGTTCTTATCTAAATAATTTCCAAAATTTTTTGTGTTTTCAGTGCGAGCAGTCTCTAAATAAGTTCGTGAACAGAAATGTGTCATTGTTGAGTCGGTCTGTTAAAAATCCCCACCGTGGGGTGCAAAACATTGTGCTCCCATAAGGATAACACGGCCGCCCGCTGGTATTTGCCGAACGTGTTTTGGAATCCGTCGCTCACGAAACCAGGCCTGACGCCTGACGCCTGACGCAGGTCATTAGCGGTTACTTCAAATACAGGGTACCCACGGTGATCCACGTGGCGGTGTTGGAAGAACTGTTACGCACGGCAACGAACAAGGTCCTGGTGTCCCTGGACGCCAATGCTTTTTCTAGACGCTGGTTCAGCCGCGTGAACGACGCGACGGGAGACACACTGGTAGCGTGTATTGACACGAATGAGCTAGAGATAGCGAATGTACCAAGCCCATACACTACCTTCCATGGCCCCAGGGGAAGAACTAACATCGACGTTACACTGGTAGATAGGACTCTGGGTCAAAAGCTAATGGGGTGGACGGTTATCCCCGGGGAAACTTCCAGTGACCATCAAATTATTGAATTCATCGTAGAACTGCAGCGCCGAAAGTTCATGCACCGAGAAACAAGGTTCAATCTTACCAGGCAAAATTACCAAAGGTTTCGGCAGGAGTTCGAGACCCGGGATAATCTTCGTGATGCAGCGCAAAGGGATCCGGATCGGATGGCTGAAAAATGGTAGCAAAAAACAGACCAGTATTGGTTCGTTGATGAAATCGGATGGTACCCGGTGCAGATCTCTGGATGAGTCTGTGGACCTCTTACTCAATGCTCTAAACCCAAATGATCCACATCACCAGCAGCCGCAGACGGTGGGAAGAACGGACTGTGATCTGCAACCGATTGACGAGGATATAATCAGAGATTTAGCGTGGACCATTGCCCCAAACAGGGCCCCCGGTAAAGATGGAATCACGGGTAGAATAGTGCGTGTTGTGTGGCCACGCCTCTCGAATAAGGTATTAGGCCTAACTAATGCCTGTCTCCGCGGGGCAGCATTTCCCGTGATTTGGAAATCGGAGGCGGTTGTTCCAATTATAAAGGGCGAGGATAGAGATGTTGGCCAACCAAAATTCTATAGGCCGATGAGTCTGTTGCCAGTAGTGGGTAAGATAGTGGAGAAAGCCATGAACATACGGCTACAGGAGCAGATTGGCCGGAACCTCACGGGGAAACAGTATGGATTTACAAAGGGGAAGTCTGCATTGGATGCTGTGGACAACTTGTTAACGTGGAGTGCCCTGAGACCGGAGAAATATGTCATCACTAGGGTTCGGATTTGAAGGCAATATAATCAATAAAACAAGGCAAAAAAAGGCATTTAATTTATATAAAAAGGCAATTCATAAATATACTACAAAATAAAATAGTGAAACGCGTGGAAAAATTATTGAACGACAATTATTGCGATCGACAAACGCGGGCGGACTGACGAACAATCTTGAATCTACGCATTACGAACATATCTTAATCTTTAAATAGGTGTACGGGTAATTTTATGGCCATACCAAATACTCGATAAGACGATATCGATAAATATTGCGAAGAATAAAACCCATTTGTAACGATAATACGCAAGCTGTGTATAAAATTATAAAATCAACTGAAAAATTAAACACAAAATAGGCATTTATAAATACAAAAGGTAAAAAAAGGCAAAAAGGCATTTAAATGTAAAAAGGCAAAAAAAGACAAAAAAAAAAAAATATCCATCCTCTAAGAAATTAAATGAAACACATTTTTGTATAAAAATTATTTTTCTATTATGATTAATAAAAGAAAGGCATTTGAATTCAAATCCGAACCCTAGTCATCACCGTATTCCTTGACATAACAGGGGCCTTTGATAATTTGGCCTGGCCTGCCCTGCAAGCGGACCTGCAAGACCTCGGTGCAACACGGCATATGCGGAAATGGACAGAGAACTACCTATCAGGCCGAACGGCCACCATGACAATTGGAGGGGTCACGAAATCGATAAGGGTCACAAAGAGAATAAATATGTCCGCAGGGATCAATACTGTAGAACGTGAAAATGGAGGCTCTCCTCAGGGTCAATTTCCCAGAGCACGTCGCCATACAGGCGTATGCCGAGGATATCGCCATTAGTATTGCTGGCCAAACAAGAATGACTTTAATACAGCGAACAGAGAAGGCCCTGATACCGGTAATGGAATGGGCTACGGGCAGGGGCCTTTCATTTTCGGCGTCAAAATCCCAAGCCATGATGACCAAGGGGGACATGGTACCCGGTTTTACAGTTGCTTTTGAAGAGGAGAGAATAGCGTCGGTGGAAAGTGTGAAGTATCTAATTCTGTGGTTGGATCCTGGGAGGTTATACAGAGTGCACGTGGACAAAATCACCACTGCAGAGCACTCACTGTTTTCCCGGCTGCGCGGTGCGGTGGGAGCGGGTTGGGGAATCAGACTTTCCAACCTCATGATAATATACCAGGGTGTATTCCTACCTAAGATCGCTTATGGGGTGCGTTTTTGGAGCCATGGTTTGTCAACTAGTGCTGTGGAGAGGAAAATGGGCACGCTACAGAGAAGAGCCCTGATAGGGATAACAGGCGCGTACCGGAGTACGTCCACAGCGGCATTGCAGGTTCTCGCGGGCATACCACCGTTAGACCTACAGCTGGCATCAAACAAGGTTCAATCTTACCAGGCAAAATTACCAAAGGTTTCGGCAGGAGTTCGAGACCCGGGATAATCTTCGTGATGCAGCGCAAAGGGATCCGGATCGGATGGCCCAGGAACTTTCAGAGGATGTCACGGCGGCGGTCATGGAACACGATGAGAATACGAATGAAGGTCACCCCACCATGGTGGACAACTGAATTGCAGACTGTGAGGAGAGCGGTAAGGGCGGCGGCCAGATGCATGTCGGCGAACGGTGACCGACAAATATTCAACGCAAGGCGTAATGAATATACGTCGCTCCTCAGGAAGAATAAACTGGAGTCGTGGAGAGCTTTCTAGGATTATTGGTTAATTGTGCATGTTTGTTTATTTGTATTATTATCTTTTGTCAATATACAT